AACATTCCTTTCTTAGTAATCTATAGAACAAGTAGACAGAAAATCAGTGTCCTTTAAAGAATATCTACCAGAAAACAATAGAATACGCACTCTTTTCTAAGACCTGTGAAACATTCACCAAGATAGACCATATGTTGGGCCTTAAGACAAATTTATTTAAAATGAATTTAGAAAAATTGAATTCATACCAAGCATGAAGTTGGACCGTAATGGAATTAAACTCCACAGTATGTGTTCTTCATTGGCTCTCAGAGTGCCTGGGTTGAGTTTCAGCTGCCCACAGAAGTCATTTGCTTTATTAACTCACCCTTTATTGGTTGCTTTTGCTTTTCTGTCTCACTTCCCTAACCCAATACCAACGTTTTCTGGGATCATTTCCAAATTCACTCTTTCTGGAGGTCTGCTTCTAGAAGCCCAAGCTAACACAGCTGCATATACAGTCAACTCTCATTATTTGTGGAAGTGAGCATTTCTAAATTTACTGCAAACAATGAATTAGTGAATACTGAGCAGTAATGCTCCAAGGGAAAATACAGTTAGGTTCCTGTGAGCCTCTGGTCATGACATTTTCATCAACTAATCAGTATATAACCTTGTTTTATACATGTTTCTGTTTAAAGACAACTTATTATTTTTTTAAGATAATAACTTTTTTTTTTAAAGATTTTATTTATTTGACGAGCAGAGATCACAAGTAGGCAGAGAGGCAGGCAGAGAGAGAGAGGAGGAAGCAGGCTCCCCGTGGAGCAGAGAGCCTGATGTGGGGCTCGATCCCAGGACTCTGGGATCATGACCTAAGCCAAAGACAGAGGCTTTAATCCACTGAGCCACCCAGGCGCCCTCAAGACAACTTATTTAATATACACTGAAAATTTCTTCAAGATGGAATTCAAGTCAGCAGCACTATTACTCATGTTTCAATGAAGCTTATCTAGCACCAAATTCCCCAAAAGACACATCACAGCCTTCTTGCACTTAGATACGCTAGACAGCACTTCAACACACTACACTTGGAGGCCATTTTAAACGGCAAATCAACATCACCACCACCAATAATACACACACACACACACACATGTGGGAAACATGACACTAAATAGACCATGAAAAGGGCACTTGTTTACAGACACTTGTTTATAGTATGAGACCTGGAAGAAGAAGGCAGAGCGTCACCTTATTCCCCTCAGCTGGGAACATGCGTGTAAGGCAACTCCAATATTTTGGGGCTCTGCACGTATCTGTGAATAACTTGAAAGGCCCAGGAGTATTGATTTTGAAGTTACAAATAAATTTTAGCAAGTGAATTCTCAAGTACAGAGTCTGAGAATAATAAGGATTGACCGTGTTTTCTTAAAGCCTCAATTTGGTGGTTTATGGATAGAACTTTTAATTTACTCCTTTCTTACACAGAAAAAAGAGGCCAGATCAACATCTGCTAGTCTATAAGGATGTCACCTTTTTCCCCAACCAGGGATGCCTTTCTCTGACCTCTTTCTGAGCCCTGGAATCAACATAAATTATTTAACGTTGTGCTGAATACATCGCTGATGATTCTTTTTGTGACTCCCCTCGGTTCATTTTTTTATTATAGCCATTGTTCTTGCTCTTTTCTATGCATCTGGACAGATTGTAAGTTAAACTTTGGTGTGAACAAGAAAAGCTGGGAATTACTCCGGAAACAGCAGCCATTTCCTACATGCTAATATCTATCAGTCCCAATCATTCTCAGAGCAGAATTCCTGAGGGAGATTTCTTTGCGTGAGAAAAGGGGTTGAAAGGTAATCAGCACAAGACGGGTTTAATGTTTGTGCAACACGCACACATACGATGTGGGTAAAATAGATGTGGGTGAACGAACAAATTATTCAGGCATAGGGAACTCAGGCAGAGGTGTTACAGTAAGTCAAATGTTTACTTCTGAAATGTCTTTCTTCTCTAAATTGTAATAATTGAAAAAGACAAATAATGCGCAAAAGCATAGAAGATCCCAGAATACTATTTTTTCTCTCTTTTTTTTTTTTTAAAGATTTTATTTATTTGAGAGAGAGAGAGCGCATGAAAGGGGCAAGGGGCAGAGGGAGAAGCCAGCTCCCTGATGAGCAGAGGGCCTGATGTGGGACTTGATCCTGGGACTCCAGGATCATGACCTGAGCCGAGGGCAGTTGCTTAACCAACTGAGCCACCCAGGTTCCCCCAGAATACTATTTTTAACATCATTTTTATCATATATTTTAATAACATAGAAGACTGTATAAGAGGATAATACAAAGCCTACACAGAAAAAAGGAGGATTAATTTGGTAACATAATAGTTACCATTAATATGAAAACATAATAGAGGTTTAATGGATCACAAGCAATGTCGCAGAACTCAAGCAAGAAATAGTTATGATATGGAGCACAGAACGTGGACTAATGATCTTTAATGACTAATTGAAGAAAATGTATTTCTGTGCCTCCCCCCTAACAGAAATTTAGAGATGTAAATAATACCATAGTTTCCTTGATCCCATATTTTCTAGTTTGTTTTAATACAGGAATCTGGCAATAGTCAAATTTCCTCTCCTCACTGAAATAGTTCAAAGCACAAAAACATTGATATTAATTCCTTCTGACAACTTAATAAAAACACTGAAATTTACTCACAGCTTATTATCAAAGGTGGAAAAACATGGCCTAGAGAGACATTTTCAGTAACTCATGCATCATTCAACACACAATTTACAGACTATGTTGTATCAAACAGCGTGTCAGAAAACAGGATCTGGGGTTTAATGTATGTGGAATTCTTCTTAGTGTGAGCCATTGGGTGACTGAGACAAATTACTAACCAGATACACAGGTGCTATGAGAAAGAGAAGTAGGGGCGTTATAGGCGCTCAGAAGGAGAGAATATACCCAGGGGAGGGTCAGAGGCAACTTTCCTGGATAGGATGGTGATATGAAGATTCAGAGAAACAGGGCATTCCAAGTTCATCTGCAATGGAAGTTTCAAGTGTGGGGTCGGTGAGAGATAAACTGGACTGGGAGGCCAGGTCCAAATCTTGAGGGCCTTTAGATCAGGCAAAGAAGTTTGAATTTTTTCAGACCAAGGTGACCCACCACAAAACATGTAATCATGAGGGGAGGTTGGGGAGAATTACGAGTGTAGTGTCAGGTTTATCGTTTAGGGAAACCAGGGAGGGTGCAGATTGGCAATGGGCTGCCAATGTGGTGCTGAAGTCAGCAAAACTGGTAAGTGGCTGTGATGGTAACTTTAGCAATGATAATCCAAATAATGGCAATCCAAACACGTGAGGACCTGAGTTAAGATACAGATAGAAGTGAAAGGAAAGAAGTGAAGAAATATGGAGGAGTCACAGTCACTGGGGCTTGGCAACTGGAGAAGTGAGGTGTCAGTGGGACAGAGGGATTCTGGGATGTGTCCAGGTCCCTAACATGCAGTTAATGGGACAATGGTACCAAAAATCATTCCTCATGACTGAATGTGACAGCCTTGTTGTATGTCATCACAATACCTGAGGTCCTCAAAATCAGAAATAAAAATAATAATTATGACTGACAGAAGACTTACAAACAGTAGATTGGACTCTGTGATCTCAAAAAAAACAAACATGTTTAAGATAAAAATGCACCACCACTGAGCACAACACTGGGCAGTGGACATCCTGGCTCCTAAACTTCATTATAGAAGGACATAGATGTCCTCCTGGGCACCTGTGACCTCTAGGGGAGCTGAGGGTTCTCTGTACACAGAACAGCACCAAATTCCCTTCTCAGCAGACTCCCTCGCCTGCAATCAATGCTCTAAAATCAGATCTGATCAGATAGGACATTCCCCTTCCAAGGCCTTCTTCATAAGCACTAGGAGAACCTGACCATATAACACAGTGGAAATTAAAACTTTGGATGAGGTCTTGACTGGGCTTCTGCATTTCTTACTCTTATCTAGAAACATTACACCCTGAGCCTAGAGTGGGAATATTTGATTGTACTAAGAACTAGATAACCACACATAGGAGTTATAACTTCAATGGCTTGCCCCTGTTCGGAACACAAATCCAGACAAGTTGGTGTGTATACAGTGATCTTCACGCTCAGATGGAGCATCTAAGCAATGGTTCCCTTTAGCTGAGAACTGTTCTCTTGACCCACAGGGCCATCGTCATCATGTTTAGATGGCATGGCCCGAACTTCTGGTAACAATTTAATAGACCAAAGGTGCCAAGATGAACTCTCTGTCAGGAATGTCCATCTCCTCAATCATCTCCCCTCACTCATTCACTGGCATTTGATGGTCTTTAGTAAATACAACCAGCAGAGATGCCAATAATTTGTCTAATAGAAAAAAAAAAAATCACCCTAGGGTTTATGGTTTTATTGCTCTGTAGACATTAACGAATTTTGTATATAACCTTGCAATCTATTCCAGCATTCTTTTCTCATACAGACTATATAAACTTGCTTTTCAATTTTTTTTTGAAATTTGAACTGTTGGTTTTTTGAACTTTGAACTGTTGGTTCCCTAATGAAAGAGTTAAGTGAAACTTGGAAACTTGGACACACCTTTACTGTTTTCCCCCCTTAACGCACAACCCCTTCCTGGTGGCTGGGGGCTGAAGGGACGTCGAGGTGCGTAGGGAAGCGATCGCCCCAGAGCTGGCAGTTCCTGTGTCCCCATGACACACCTACGCTCTTCCGAACGCACCCCAAGAAGCTCGGACAGCCCACGCCTCCAAGCTATGTTTTTCCGGTTCCCGCCCCGGAGGGGGCGCGCGTCCACACAGCCCATCTAAATCCCCGCGACGCGACCCGCTTGGTCTCCTGCTCTTCCTACCCCTTCCTCTTCGCCTCCCCCTCCCTATCCCACCTTCTCCCGGTCCGGGCTTCACCCCGGGCCCTGGAACCGCCCCCGCCTGGCCCCGCCCCCTACCCTGACCTATTGGGTCCCGCTCCACTCCCCGCCCCTTGGCCTCCGGGCCATCCAGGTTCTAGATACCACCCCAGAATTCCGCCCACGCCCCGCCTTTCCGGGTAGCCATGGCGGGGGTAACCGGTCGGCTGATTCGGTGCTGGTGTCGGAGAGCGGTCTGGGGGTAAGTGCTGAGTCAGGGATCCAGGGTCGCCGGTGGGATCCCCTCGAGCAGAGGCGGTCGCCGAGCGCGGGAGCTGCCCTGTCTCTTATCTTGTCCGGGTAGCCACAGGGCTAGGCTTTTATGGTTTTTCCAGGGAGGGAGTGATGGCAGGTGTCCTTAAACGCGCGCCCTCTCTTTGGCTGGGCGCGAGATGGTCTCCGTGGACGCGCGGGGAGGCCTGAGCTGCCACTTCTCCCCAGGCGTTCGTGCTCAGCTCTCCCCTCGGGCCACACAGCCTTCCACCCGGGCTGCTGCTAGGTTGCCAACCTAATTCGCTAAAACGGGGTAGAACATCTCAGCACGCTTGGCATTTCTGCTGAATGCTGTAGAAACGCAGGCCGTTCTCCGTGTGGGGTCAGACTGCTTCCTGGGGAACACTTCTGTAGTGTTAACCCGCGGGGAGCACAAACTATGTAAAAACTGAGGTGGTGGGATTATAAATGATTTTCTCGATTTTATGTATTAAACGGTAGTGCTTCGTAATTTTTTAAAGCTCACTTTCAAATAAGTGAGTTTGTGCGTATTTTGTGAGAGCTTGCACATTTAGGCTTTGTGATAGACATTTTGTTCTTTCGTTTTCTATTTGGAGCTTAACATACATCACGTAGGATGCAGAGTTTTTCCCTTTTTGGAGAGAAACTAATTCAGTTATTTAATGTAAAAATTATTGAAGACTTTACTGAATTACTAATTTCAGTTAGTAATTAGGAATTGCAAAATTACTAATTTACTGAATTACTACTATTTCAGAGTTTGAACCTATGGGTTCTTCATGCTCTGAAAGTCGTATTATTGCAGAGGAAGTAATCCATTGGGTGTGGGCATTATTAAAACTGTATTATTTTAATCATCCTGGATCCCACTGACTTTAACTTTATATGCCAGGGTCTTCACTGGGAACATCAATTTTTTGCTTGTGGCCTCAATACTGTGCACCGAAATTTTCTCTTTCTCTGCCTACTAAATACTCTGCCTGGGTGTGCTCGCTGTTTCTGCTCTGCTCCTAGCTCGCTGGTTAACCTTCTCAGGGTGAGTCATTACGTGTTATCAGCGCAGCTTCACAGACTAGCTTCCACAGCAGTTAGATTTCCTCTAGATAAGTCCCCCACCTACTAAGAAGTGGCTCTTTGTCTGGAATGCCAACTACAGCTCATCTGTCTTTTTGAACCCTTCTTGTATCTTAACCCAGTCTCTCCTCCTCCTGATGTGGGAAACAAAAGCAAAAGAAAAATTAAATTTCCTTACTACTTAACAGCCCATTGAGGAGTCCTTGAAACAGACAAAGCGACATTCCTCTGGGAACTCAGTTGCCTTAGTGTTAATACTTTGCTAAGAGCAAAAAGCAATCTTAAGCCCAGCCCCCAGGCTCCTGTAAGTCCACATTAACATATAAAAATTCCTTTATCTCTACCCCAAGATACATCTTGACAATCATCCCCCAAGCTTATGACCCACAGATACACATCTGAAGGGTCTCATGACTAAGGTTTCATTAGACAGTAATAAATGACCTTTTCCTAACAATAGTTGGTCCTTGGAGGTCCTGGAAACCTTGCTTCCAAAATTCGCTAGAGACTTAGGCTATCCCTAACCCCTTTCCAACTTGAAAGTGTGTGATGAAATACATTATATGTTTATTTAAAAAAAAAAAATGTAAAAAAGAAAGAAAGAAAAAAAAAGAAATAAAGTGTGGGATGGGCCACTCCTCATGACCCTGGTGCAGCTCTTTCTGCCCCCGGTCCTGTCCCTGTGCTTTAAGAAAATCACCATTTTTGCACCAAAGACGTCTCAAGAATTCTTTCTTGGCCGTTAGCTCTGAACCCCAGCATCTTCCCAATATCCCTTCCACCTATAGGTTGGGACACACATTTTGCTGAACAGAAAGAATTGACCTGTTAATAATTTTATACTTTGTTCATCGGTGAGGGTGATGGGTCTGTAATCAAAGGAGCGACAAGGGCAGACAGGATTTCTGGCTGTTAGGACACAAAAGACCAAATTCTGTGCACTCTTCAGTCTCAGTCTCCTGCTCACTTACATCTTACAGTGCCTTTCATTTACTTTCTTGCCTGTGGCAGAATTTACATGGCCATTCACGATCCCTTGGCTTTTATCAGTATCTAATTAGAATTGCTCTAATTGCTGTGCTGGATTGTAGCTTCCTTTTCCTTTATTTTAAGATTGCTACAGTTAGCTTCTGTATTTTTTTTTTAGGGATCATTTTGAAAACCACTGTTGGGAAGGAAGAAATTTATTCTGCCCTTTAAGGTCCTTCTAGCTGGATTAGGAATCAAATTGACAAGAGACAGATTAATGGGAGAAAATCAAATTTCGTTTCATACCCACATGGAATCCACATAAACGTGAAATTCCAAAGATGGGCTGCGTGAGGCTTACATGACTTATATTTTGAAGCTTATATTCTGAGCTAAGGAGAAGGGTTAGGAGTCTGAGGATACAAAACAGAGGAAGACCATTAGCAGGAAGGTGAGAGGAGATCTTGAGAAAACAAAGATTGTCCCATTACTCAGATAAGTTTCTTAGATAAAGAGGAATCTCTGTTCATGGGTCTCTTCGTGGTACAGGCTCTTCTTTCCAATGTAAACTTGGGCAGTAGATGGGGAGTCCGAGAGCTTTTCCTGCTTCTGCTGGGCTTTGCTTGCTTTTAACTCAAAATATTGCTCATGCCCAAGGGGCCCATCTTGGGATGGCCTGCCCGTGGCCCTTACACCACTAACCATGACCCTTACACCACTAACCGTTTGCAGCCATCTTGTTGTACAGGGTCAGGTACAGGGAATGTATTTCAGGAGAAACAGAGCGTTTTGGTATGGACGGATTGGCAGCCATTAGAAATCAGTCTGCCTGTCTGCAGCTCCCTGAAGGTCCCGGCACTTCATCTGCACGTGAGCAAAACAGCAATGGAAGCCAGTCAGGAGGATTTTGAGAATGCGATGAATCAGGTAAAACTGTTGAAGGAGGACCCAGGAAATGAAGTGAAGCTCAAACTCTATGCACTCTATAAGCAGGTAAATACCTAATGTCTGACGTAACCTAGAGACATTTTGAGCTGATGGCTACTCAGATAGATCTGCCATGTGTTCTACTGAAATGCAGCTTTCATATTATGAAGGTTTGTATTGCTTCCTTTCCTCTAAAGAGTGTCTACATGGGAGTTTTTGTATACTTGTCTTTGCAGTACTGTTACAGCAAAAAGGAACCCACCAGGATCACTCTGGAGTCAGAGAGACTTAAAAGAGATAACCACTGAAGGTGTAGACCTTATTTGGCTTCTGACTAGAAAAAAATCAACTGAAAAACTGTTTTGAGACCACTGGGGAAATTTGTGGACTGAGTATTAGGTGATACCTAGGAGTTATTATTAAAGACACCATGGTTATATAAGAAAATGTTGATGTTCTGGAGGAATGCACACTATGTAGGGCTGAAATAGAATGGCACTTTGAGAGTCACTAAAATGTGAGAAAGAAAGGAAGGAAGGAAGGAAGGAAGGAAGGAAAAAAAAGAAAAAAGAAGGAAGGAGGAAGGAAGGAAAGAAAGAAAGAGAGGAAGGAAAGAAAGAAAAGGATGGACAAAGTAATTATGGCCAGAAATTGATGGTTATTGAGTTAGGTTGAGTATTTGGAATGCGTTATAATACTCTACTCTTCTATATGTTTGAAAATTTGTATAACAAAAATTTCAAACTAAAATTTTTAAGTTGTGATGTCTAAGGACAACCTTGGGAAGTCAGCTGGTTTTGGGCTCCTGTGTGTAATCTGTGTTCCTCTTCCCATGATGGGTATGAGCCTCTCTTAGTGTCCTAGAATTTGACTTTGCTCAGAAAGAGGCCAGGACTTTGCGCTTAACTTCTGGGAAGTAATCCCTAAGCCTCAAAAGGTCAGGCCTGCTAAGGAGTGTCTCTGTTGGCCTGAGTCTCACAGTGTGATTTAGAGTGAGGGCTCCTGGCTATGTAGTCAGCCATGCCTACCCCGTGGAGCCCCAAATGAAAACTCTGACCACCAGAGCTTAAGTGAGCTTCCCTGGTGGGCAGTATCCCTGTGTGTTACTACACATCTGTTCTGGGGGGAAGTACAGTTTCCTGACTCCAGGCTGGGTTCGGGGAGAGGGACTTGCATACCTTGTTGCCTCTCCCTCTCCAGATATCTCCTTCTTGCAGGGTGACCTTTGCCTCTTTGTCTTTGGAAAATCTATGCCTCCTACACTGCCTTTGTTTCTCAAAGCCTCTTTCTTCTTTCCTCTTTCAGCTAATGGTGGAATTTAAAGTTTATACAGGTGGCTACGTAAGTGGCATGGGATATTCATCTCAAAACATTCAGTCCACCTACTCTCAAACAAGTAAAATTTAGTTGTTTTCTATGGTTCCTCTTTGCATAGCCTTCATTTAAGTTTCTATAGGGCCAGTGGCTCTGGCACTCTCCCATCTCTGCTACCCCAGGTTCAACTCTTCTCAGTTGGCAGAAATCCACCACTGAATTCGTGGAATTTTTTTGTGCCTTTGAGTGGGTTTCAGAATATATGGTAGGTTTCCAAATGTTTGTTGGCTGGTTACGTTTGAAGATAGTTTGCTTGAATATTTTGACTGTGTGTGAAAAATGGGATCATTGATACAAAACTAACTATTAGGAGTTTTTAAAAAGTACTTTGCCAAACCCCTTGTCTGACTTTGTTTTCATATTCAGGCATTTATGACTTATTTTAGGGACCGGTAGCTGATGGCACATTTTGTCTCTCCGGTCTTTTTTCTGTTGTATATTTTTAGCAGCAGCATCAAAGACAGTGCAAGGGGAAAGTTAAGATGAATTTATGTATCTTCTAAAAGTGTTTGCGAGGGGAAGGCGCATTCATGCTAGTTGTACATTTTAAATCTTAAATATTTGACGCTCTAATTTGCATGGACACGTAACTGATAATTGCCCCTGTCCTTTTCCCAGGCCACTGAAGGATCTTGTAATACACCCAGACCGGGTGTGTTTGACTTGATCAATAAGGCCAAATGGGAGGCATGGAATGCTCTTGGCAATCTGCCCAAGGTACACTTACTTGCTACTTTGCTTTTATTTTACTTGCTATATTCCCGGAGGAAGATGGGTGCTTCTCATTATTAAACCATTGTAGGTAGAACCTGCGAGATCTGGTTGGACTCTGTTGAATCAGACCTCTCTTCTTTCTTCATTGCAAGGTGCTGTTTCTTAGCATGGTTAAGTTTCTCACAGTGCTTGCTTACTGACCGAGGATTGAGGTTATTTGTCTTCTTCTCCTCAGGAAACGGCTAGGCAGAACTATGTGGATTTGGTGTCTGGTTTGAGTTCTTCGTCTGACTCCTCTAGCCAAGGGAAGCCTGAAGCAGACCAGAAACAAGCTGGATACAAAACAGTGGTGATGACCTCTGAAGACAGCATCACAAAGATCATGTTGAACCGGCCTGCCAAAAAGAATGCATTGACCGAACAGGTAATGTGACTTGAGCCCTGGGACTTTGTCCTACCTTTCTTTCCTCCCTCTGTCTGTTTCACTCAACAACTAGAATGTTTCAGCATCATTGCTATTGTTGTGATCTCTTGTTTGATTTGTGTAGGAAGATTAGTAATGGTGGCTATTTCTTCATACAACTGAGTTGGGCATTTGTTATTTAGAATTTGTTGGCTTTGGGTAGGTTCTATGTGTCCAAAAAAGCACTGCAACTCTCCTAATGATAGAAACACAAATAAATTAAATTAATAGAAATGAAACATACATTGATATAAGAGAGTAGGTGTAGAGATTCTCTAAGGTTGACACAGACTGTCCCCAGACTTTGCTCTTTTCATTTAGACTTGTGACTACTGTTCAAGTTGCATGGGCCTTTATTTATACAAGTAGAGGGAGAAAGGAAAGAAGACCTTCATTTTAAATATAGCATAACCCAACTCTCCTTCAGATGAGCTGCTCACAAGAGCTCCTTTGATCTTTGAGTCTTTCATCAAACTACAACGATAATAAAAATAACCACTTCTACCCCTTCCCCTTGAAAAATATGTGGGTAATTAATTGGATGCTTGGTGCTGAACTGCAAGTAAAATTTGCGTGGCTATAATCCTTTTCATTGGGTTTGTCATCTATATTATAGCAGAAGGAGTCTGCTCACTTAAAATAGTGTTAAATAAGAATTCCATGAAGTTGGATATGTGCCATTGACTTGGTAAAACACTTGATCCTCAACTTCATTGCCATTGCCTCATTTCTGTGTGATCATCATGATGATGGTGATGATGGTATTGATGGTGATGATAATGATGGTGTTGATGGTGAATGATGGGGATGATGGTGGTGATGGTGATGAAGATGGTAATGATGGTAGTGGTGGTGGTGATGATGGTGATGATGGTGGTGATGGTGGTGATGAAGATGGTAGTGATGGTGATGGTGGTAATGATAGTGATGATGGTGAATGATGGTCGTGATCATAGTGGTGGTGATGGTGGTGATGGTGGTGATGATGGTGATGATAGTGATGTTGGTGGTGATAATAAATAGTGGCTGCTCTTTGCAGAGTGCCTAGTGTGTGTCAGCACTTTCCACACAGAGATTTCTTTAATTCCCACAAGGGTCCCACTTCTAATACTATTTAACAATAAAATAAGTAGGAATGTGCTCAAATTCCCATAACTAATAAGCTGGAAAACCTAAATTAAAACCCTAATATATCCATGTCATAATCCCAGCTTTGGCCAGTTACCCAGTCATGCCGTGTTATCATAACCATAATAATAATAATAATGGAGTTATTTCCTTATTTCCTCCCTCAGTGACTACAACTTCACCTTTACTTGTCTATTATGTCAGGTCCTTATTTTTTTTTCAGTATCTGTGTATCCATAAATACCAACCCTCTTCATCATTCTCTCCTACACCGATGTCTTATCTGAGGTAGAAATGATACCAGTGCATTAAAAACTGTAACAGCACCTCCCAAAATTTTCACAGACATTGCTAATTTAAAATATTGGACCCATTGTCTTCAGCTACCATTACATGTCTTGAAATCCCAGCCTTGAACACTTTCCAGACTGTCTGGGACATGCATGCTCTTTTTTGAGGTCAAAGCTGACAAACTGCTTCATGGAAATCTTCCCCTGGCCGCCTCCCATCCCACCCATGCTGGATATCAGTGCTTCCTCCAAGCTGTCTGCCGTGATGTACTTTCCACCCAGTTTAGAGTTCCCCCTCTCTATTAATTCCAAAAGCTCAAGGACTAGGTCTTATTTGTTCACTTTTGGGGAAAGGTGGATATATACCCCAGTGTCCACAAGAGCGCATGGTATGTAACACACACCAAGTAATTGTAAAAGGATTGAAAATCCTTTCAACTGTATTGGGCCGCCTTTTTAGTTATGTAAATACAACCAGCATCACAGTTGGCGCTTTGCAGAGGACAGGCTTACAGACTGACTTTTAGTGAATCCCACCCGATGGTTGTCATTTTCAGAGTTCCTTTCTTTTTCTTGTCTCCCCCTTTCACATAGATGTATCAAGAAATCATACTTGCACTTGAAGCCGCAAGCAAGGATGACTCTGCCATAACTGTTTTAACAGGTAAGACATTTTCTTGAATTTCTTAATAAGTAAATTTACTTTGGAGGATTTCCAACCAGATAGGAAATTGAGCAAATAGCTCTGAGGTCTTTTCCAGTACTGAGATTTTTTTTTTTTTTTAGTTTTTATTTATTTATTTGACACAGAGAGATCACAAGTAGGCAGAAAGGCAGGCAGAGAGAAGGGGGGGAAGCAGGCTTCCTGCTGAGCAGAGAGCCTGATGTGGGGCTCCATCCCAGGACCCTGAGATCATGACCTGAGCTGAAGGCAGAGGCTTAACCCACTGAGCCACCCAGGTACCCTGAGATACTCTATTCTTTTTAAAGTTTTTTTTTGTTTTTTTGTTTTTTTTTTAGTTTTTAATTTCTTCTAAGCATTCTTGCAACAAACCCAATGAAGTTAGGCCCTATGATTACTTATTTTATAGGTGAGAACACTGAAAACTTAAGTTTTGATAAATAGTGCTTTTATTATAGTTATTTTCTATATATTCTCCACTTTTGGTTTCTATTTCCTCTTTGATCCAAGCATTACATAATAATGTTAATTTCTTAGAGTTCCAGAAAGGCTTTTTTGTTGTTGTTTATTTTGTTGGTTGGTTTTTGGTTTTCCATTTCTGTTATTGATTCCTGGTTTCACTTAATTATAATCAGATGATCAGTTTTACGAGATTTACTATTTATTTATGTATGTATGTATGTATTTATTTTGGAATGGAGGGCTAGGCAGGGGAGGAGGGAAGGACCAAATCTTAAACAGGTTCCATACACAGTACAGAGCTTGACACTGGGCTCGATCTCATGACCCTGAGACCCGAGCTGAAATCAAGAGTTGGACACTTATCTGACTAAACCACCCAGGTGCCCCACTAGATTTACTTTTTAAAAATCTATTAAGCTTGGGGCGCCTGGGTGGCTCAGTGGGTTAAAGCCTCTGCCTTCGGCTCAGGTCATGATCCCAGGGTCCTGGGATGGAGCCCCGCATTGGGCTCTCTGCTCAGCAGGGAGCCTGCTTCCCTCTCTCTCTGCCTGCCTCTCTGCCTACTTGTGATCTCTGTCTGTCAAATAAATAAATAAAATCTTTTAAAAAAATCTATTAAGTTTTATGTATATAACTCCATATTGAACTCTCTACCTTGAAGATAAAGAACTGGAAAATGGCCAACTTTTTTATATCATCCAGGAACTATTCAAAAATAAGTTCATTCTTTGAAGATACAGAGTTAAAAATATATCAGTTAGACTGACCTTTCTAATTTATGTTAGATTCCCCATTTCTGGTTTTGTCTTCTAATTAATCTTAGACTGAAAAAAGTGAGGGCATTTATTGCTATTATGTTTCTTTCGCTTTCTCCTTCATGTCAAAAAAATTGCTTTAAAGCAAGTTTTTATCTTACTGACACTAGAAGACTTGTGAATAGTTATCCTTTATTATAAAATGGTCATCTTTTGTCTCACTTAAGGCTTCCTGCCTTGAAATCAACCTTGTCGAATATTAATGCCTTAACACCTGCCTTGATACTATTTGCACTTGCCTGGCAAACCTTTACCCATCCGTTTAGCTTTCTGTCCTTCTGAATTACTTTTTACAGTCTGCGTCTCATAGAACACATTGTTAGATTAGATTTTTTTTCCCTCATTGATCCAGTCTGATTTTTTTTTTTTTTTTTTTTTTTTTTTGGTAAAGGCCCCTTTACCTGTTTTGATTTATGTATATGACAGATCTGTTACTTTTTAGTTCTGCATCTTACATATACTTACTACTTACGTTTCCTTTGACTGTTATTTTTTACTTCGTGATCTGGTTTGGATTGGTGTGTGCTTTACTTCTCATGGTTTGAAAGGTTTTTTTCCTGCTTTTAGTAATTGCTGTTACAGCGATGCATGGTACCCATCAATATCTCTAGCTCGTCTGACTCCCCTTGGACAGTGTCTCTTGGTTGCCCCTATGAGAGGCGAGGAAGGGAGCACGCATTTCCCAGTGCTCCTCAGACCTCTCTTCTGAGTATATGGTCTGCTAAGTAGTGTTCCATTATCTTCTTGCATAGAATGTTGCCCTGGAGAAGTTTGAAGCTACCATTAATTTTGTTTTTATAAGATCTTTTTATTCCCCCTAGAAGACCAGGGGGTACTTTCCCATTCTTTATCACTTTTTCATAGAACATATGTATTCTGTGAAAACTCATTAGTAAGGCCTTGTTTTAAGTTTTCTTTGATAGTATCTCTGAATGTTTTTGTTTTAGTTAATCTGTTCTTTTTGAAAGAAATTCTAGTTATAGAAGAAATGTCTTGGTCTGCTGGGACTCTTATCTTTTATTGTCTCTGAATTCTTAACTCTTGTCTTCTGTTGCTTTGCTCACTATTCTCAATCCTGTACTCTGATCGCATTTTTAGCGATGCCTGTCCTTTTTATGGCCTCTGATGCCATCATTCTTTAGTGGTTGTAATTTTCTATCTTTCTTCCTGAATGTTCCCAGGCATTTTTCTTTTCCTTCTCTCATCTGTCACTTCTGTTTTGAGTCCAAAGAAAAGTTCAGCTGTTAATTTTTTATATATATGTTGGAGACCAGCATAACAATGTGTTTGGAAAAGAAGCTTTATTACTCATAAAATTATTGAAAATATTATTAATGACACCATTTGCTCCTGATAGTAATGCAAGAAAAAGAACAAATTTATTAGATAAAAATACTGCCGATAACAAATACAGCTCTTTGTTTCTCAGTTCCCCAGATATAACTGAAGCCCTACTACAAAACAAATATGTCTTCTGAATTTTTCTTTTGAAGCTTGCCCTTGAGCCCATTCTAGTGCAGTCTCTACCTTTTGCTTAGATTCCCACTCTGACCTTTGTATCATTAAATCCAGGGCCATTTTTCAGCCTTCATCTGTCTTCTCCCCCTTCTTAAACCTCTGTCTTCCCTAGGCTTCCCTAGGTCTGCCCTCCAGTCTGCTGTCTCTGATCTCCTTTGCGGGTTCATCCTCTATGTGGTCATCAGAAGGGAGGGTTCCTGAAAGCTTAGTTCTAGGCACTGTTCTCTTCTCACTTCTTGTTCTCCCTGGACCCTGCATCCATGCCCTCTCTCCAACAAAAATCCATATGCTGGTGCTTCCCCCTTGGTATCTCTTGGGTCAAGACACTCCCCAGGGCTCCCGTCCAGTATATCCAGCTGGCATTTCTTCATAGGTGTCACCCCCCACGTCTTTCTCTCTGGAGCTTTCTCAGTATTCCAAATCACAGTGGGTGGCTCCACATTTGCCCTGTTACATGGACCAGAATCCTAACATTCATGATTGACCTTGTCCCTCTCTCACCTCCTATGTCCAATCTAATCCTATTTCCTGTCATCAGTAGCCCATTGTTCTCTGTCCTCTGCACTAGTCCAAGCTATCATGGACTCTTGTCTGAACTGAAACAGTCCCTATCTCATCTTTGTGATTGCCTTTTGTCCTCCTCTCTCCCTTGCCTTGTCCAATCTCACAGATCCAATAGAATCTCTTTCCAAATAAAACTCTTATTCCTCCCCCAGTTAAAACTTCAGTGTTACCAAGACAATTCAGTGGAAAGAGAAAAATCTTTTGACAAATGATGCCAGAGAAACTAAATACCCATATGGGGGGAAATGAACTTCAACCCCATCTTACACCCTATACAAAATCTAATTTAAAAGTTATGTAAGCATAAAACCCAGAAACTTAAAGCTTCTAGAAGAAAACAATCTCTTTGTGACCTTGAGGTAGGCAGAGATTTTTTGGACAGGATGCAAAAAGCATTAGCTATAAAAGAAACTATTTACAACTTGGACTTCATCAGAATTTAAAATATTTGCTTATCAAAGACAATAGTAAGAAAATGAATATACAGGTACTACAGGCTGGGGTACGGGACTGTTTGCTCTACATAAATTGGATTAAGGATTATTACCCAGAATATATAAAGAACTCGTTAGAAATTAACAGTTAACAACCAGATTTAAAAATGAGATAAAGGACTTGGACACCTCATAAAAGAAGATAACACAGATTGCCGATAAATACATGAAAAGGTGCTCAATATCATTAGCCTTCAGAGAAATGGAAATTAAAATCAGTGAGATATTTCACCCAGTAGAATGACTAAAATCTAAAAGATAGACAAACATGAAATGTTGGTGATGATTCCAAGCAACTGGGACCTCTCCACATTTCTCAGATGAGATTGCTTAAGAAAACTGGCAGCTTTTTATGGAATAAAATCTCTGCCAGCTCCGTGACATATCAATCCACTCCTAAGCAATTAGTTCAGCTAAATTGAGCAGGTATCCACTGAATGATTTGTAATCTAGTTCACAGGAGCCAAAAACAACTCATGTCCACCAGCAGACGAATGAACAGTGTTGACTGGACATACGGTGGACTACTACGCAGCAATATAAAGGAATGGAGAACTGATTTGAGAACATAGGTGAATCTTTAAGACACAGTTCAGCAAAGAGAACACAGACGCAAGAGTCCATATAGAATTCCTCGTATAAAATTTCTGAAATAGGCAAAAGTATTCTACAGTGATTGAAGTCAGAAAGTGGTTGTGTCAGGGCAGGGTGGGGTGGGATGGCTGGAAAGGAGCTTAAGGGAACTTTCTGGGATGGTAGAAAGGTCTTATATCTTGTTTCAGATGGTGATCGCGCAGGTATTTGCCGTCATCAAAAATCATTGAGCTGAATGTTTAAAATTGGTGTTCTTGTCTGTAAATTATGCTTTAACACAAAACACCTTCAGTGGTGTCAAAAAGTTTTAATGGATCAGCAAAGCCCTGAATGGTCCATACTGCCTGTCCTCCTCCTACACCAGCTTCCCCTCTGGCTTTTTCTGCTCTGGCACAGTGGCCAGAATTAGCCCTTTTCACAGGATCTTTGCACATGCTGTTCCCTCGGCATGAATTCTTCCTACCCTTCTTCTTCTAGCTAACCTTGCCTGTCCTTCAGATCTCAGTTCAGTTTTTCCTTCCTTAGAAACACCCCTCCCTAAACCTTCAGGTTAAAACAGATCCTCTCTTAGACTCTATCATATCATCATTGAGTACTTCTCCTTTGTATCAGAGTTGTATTATCTACATTTGTTTGTATGTTTCTAGATCAATGTCCAGCTTACTCACCTGTCTGTAAATTAGGGCAAGAGCCATGGCTGGTTCACAAGTGTATTTGCAGTGCTTGCTATAGAGCCCGGCACATGGCAGATACTCAGTAATTACAGAATGAATGAATGGTGAATCTGTTGATTTCATTTACAGGAAACGGAGATTATTACTCTAGTGGAAATGACCTGACTAATTTCACTAATATTCCTCCTGATGGTGTAGAGGCGAAAGCTAAAAATAGTGCCATTTTACTGAGGTAAGAGTGACATTTGTCTGATCCCAGCGGACTTGTTCATATTCATCAAAGTTTCTCCAGACCGCTTCTATCAGTTGTGGGCACTTATTCTATCACTTTAACTGCTGTTTCCCATTCATCCTGCTGCTCTACATGAGGTTCAATTAGAAAGCATAAAAGTTAACTACAGTTGTAAAAAAAAGTTCTCTCATACTGAAGCAGGGAGATTTAGCAAATTCTCATCCAGCTAGAAAAATGCATGATTTCCATGATTGCTGGTAATGGGACATGTGAAGTACTCTCAGCACAGAGGACATGAAGGCCTCTCTCTTCTTAACTCATGTATCCCTACCGGGTTCCTGATTCCCATGAGCTATAATATTGCAACATACGCTCAGCCAGCCATCCCAGTCTGCAAGTCTGCAGCTGACCTACAGCCCTGACCTGGCTGAGGTTGAACCAAGGTCAAGCATAGAGGACTCAGTCTATGAGTTTCCATCAAATGCCATCTAGATGGGTGTCCAGGCTGGTAAGAGTTCATTTCAGACTCATGCTATCTTCCTTACTGTACTTCAGTCATGCTGCGTTGGGACATTGTTTATTACCATTACTGTGTTCAATTAGTACTGTGTTCAGTTAGCCAGCATATAGTACATCATTAATTTTTGATGTAGTGTTTAACAATTCATTAGTTGCGTATAACACCCAGTGCTCATCACCAAATGTGCCCTCCTTAATACCTATCACCTGGTTATCTCAACCTCCCACCCCCTCCCTTCTGTAACCCTCAGTTTGGTTCCCAGGGTCCAGAGTCTCTTATGGTTTGTCTCCCTCTCTGATTTCTTCCCATTCAGTTTTCCCTCCCTTCCCCTATGGTCCTCTGCTCTATTCTTTATGTCCCACATATGAGTGAAACCATATGATAATTGTCTTTCGTTGCTCGACTTATTTCACTTAGCATAATCCCCTCCAGCTCATTTAACTATGCTTTTGTATTTCCATTTCTGTAGGGATTTTGTAGGCTCTTTCATAGATTTTCCTAAGCCTCTGGTTGCCGTGGTCAACGGTCCAGCTGTGGGAATCTCCGTCACCATTCTCGGGCTATTTGATCTTGTGTACGCAACCGACAGGGTGAGCGAGCTCCCAGCAACATAGAAAGTCATGGAGTAAAAATGAGGTCCTCTGAATTCTCTTTTATTGTTGGCTGTTAGTAAATGTATTGCACGATTTATAGTAGAATGGACTAAATTTTGCTTTTTCCCAAAGAATTACTCTTAGTTTAATTTGAAATTGTTTTATTTATCCTTCATTACTAACTTTGGTTTTCCTAAACACCAGTATTGTTGTGAACACTGTTCCAACTATTTTGGTTCTATATTATAATCAGATTATGTAACAGTTCCTCAACTTTTGATTTTCCAATTAATTTAAAATAGGAGATTCTTGAAAGCTGGCTATTGGTGGGGTGGGGGAGAAAACAGTATTTTTGCATGTTCTGCAAGTGGATAGTTTGATACCTTTTTCCTTGTAAACAAATTCTGGAGTTTCGAATTTTAGAATATTAGAATTTTTTAATAAGAAGGGGTTTTAAAGGACTATCTACCCTCACTCCCTTCTTTGCAGATAAATGAAAGCTCAAGTTACTTACCTAAACGGTTTAGTGTTGTGTTCACCATTGAATTGCATTGATTTTAGTTTCTGTTCTTACTATAGTATTAATGTATATCATAGTAGAAGATAAAATTTTGAAAAATCTGGAAAAGCACGAAGGGCTAAGTTAAAAATCACTTCTTAGCTTACCATTTAGACATAACCAGTCACTGACTGCTGAACCCTAGGCTCTCTCCAATTCTGTCATTATAAACAAAGATGTGATGACCATGTATCTTAGAACTTTTACTGTAGAACTAAGAACCACTTTTAGGGTTATCGATTCTTAGAGTACTTTTTGCTTATGCAGTGGTACAGTTTCCTGCTCTACGACCTTATGGGAAACGTTTGGTTTTTACCACTGAAGAGATGCCTAGTTTTGTCTGAAGGTGTTTTCTCTGATAGACATGACCATATTTTAAGATCTTTATCTCTTGAGTTCATCTTTTTTTTTTTTTTTTTTTAAACTGGTTTCAGTTTGATTGGATTGGGCATCTTGTCAGACCTAATTGTTTTTAATAATTGTCCCATGAAAATAACAAGTGAGATTCTAGGTGCCAGGCTGCCTAAACTTCATAGGTAGAAGCTTTTGCTGAAAGGCAGAAATCAATAGCCTGAGGTCACATCATGTATGTTAGAGGACTGATTGATCACCTGGTCTTGTCCAGGGGTGGGGTCAGGAGGTCCTGACCTGAACTTAAGGATCTCATTCTTCAGTACTTAGAAGGCAGATACATCATCCTATTTGAATATTCTCCAGATTCTCCCTCAGAATTTAAAATGACTGTCACATCCATCATCTTTTCAAGATATCTAAGACTTCGGTCCTGTGATACAAAATGGAACTGAAATAGAAAGAAAACATATGTAGATACTTTCAGTGCTAAAACATTTGGCCCAGAGTAAAATATTTGACAAATAGTGACCACTGCTGACCAATTGAATTAAAAGAAGGTTCAATTTAAAATCAGAGATACAGAAGAAAGAACCTGTGGAGAGGAATGCATTTTATAGGATTTACCATTATTGGCTTCTTAAACAAATACCATATTAAATGTGGGTTTAACAGTCTTACAAGCAGATTATTCTTTATTATGGGCAAGAGGCAAGAGTTAACAATGCCCATTAGCTTCTTTGTTGGCAAATCATACATTTCCCCTATGAGGTAATAAAAGGGTAGAAATCATAAAAATAGTATTTGAGTGCCCACCACATCCTGGGCCCTCTGTTGATGCACATGATGCGTGCTCACTTACGCACACAGCACCCTATGAGATAGGTACTTCGTCTCCATTTTATAAAGGAGTCTACTGTGGCACGAAGAGGCTAAGAAGCTTCTAGAGTCACCAAGCAGTCAGATGCCAGAGCCTGACCCTTAATTACATTTACTGCTCTATTTCTGAAAAGAAGTTAAATGCTGCTTACTGTCAGTTCTGCACATACCTGTTTGTGGCCCTTTAGCTACGGTTGACGTTTTTTTTCACTTTCCTCTTATACTCCTTAGGCTGTGACTTCTCAGTACATCTTCTTGAATAAGCTTGCTTTTGTGGGGAGGGAGTGATAAGTGACATTAGTAACTTTTTATTTGATATTTTCATTTTTACTTATATGCTGTGTATATTATATATTTATGTCTTCTAACAATATTCATTAAGAAAGAGTGCCATATCTGATTATGGGATGTGAGGTCTAAATGTTCTGCATACATATTGTCAATTATAAATTGATTTCCTTTCATAAGGACTTCTCATTCATCAAGAAATACACAAAAATATTTCTTAAATTAAGAAAAGGGGCTGGGGGCATCTAGGTGGTGCAGTCGGTTGAGTTTCTGACTCTTGGTTTCAGCTTAGATTATGATCTCGGGGTCATGAGATCCATCCCTGCGTCAGGCTCCGCACTCACAGGGGGTCTGCTTGAGAGTCTCTCTCCCTCTGCCTCTGCCCCTCCCCCCCCCAAATAGGTGAATAAATCTTTAAAAAAAGAAAAACAAGGGGCGCCTGGGTAGCTCCGTCAGCTAATTATCCAACTCTTGATCTCAGCTTAGGCCTTAATCTCAGGGTTACGAGTTCAGGCCCCTCACTGGGCTCCATGCTGGGCTTGCAATCTACTTTAAAACAAAAACAAAAACTAAAGATGACTCTATGGTCTAAATAACCAGTATTGAAATAGATTCTTGTATTTAAAGCAATTAAATAGATTCTTGTGTTTAAAGCAGTTCAATAAAACCTCTCTGAGGTAAAATCAAGACAGATGACAGACTGAGGAAACAATTTTCCAGGTGATATTATCAAAGGTAATCTCTAATATATTTTTTAAAAATACATTTTATAAAGTGATAGATCAACAACTTGATGTAAAAATGGGCAATGGAGAGGGATACATAGCTCACAAAAAATAAGTATAAATGGCTCCTTAAAACATAGGGAAAAGACCCTATTAAGAACCTATTACAATCAGAATATGTAAAGAACCACAAGTCACTAATAGAAAGACAACTTACTAACTCAAAAATAGTGGGCAAAGTATTATAAGGGTTACTTCACCAAAGAAGATATAAAAAGAGCTAATAAGCACATGAAAAGATGCTCACCATCATTAGTCATTACAGAAATGTAATTTAAAACCACAAGCCACTATTACACACCTACCAGGACAGTTCAGGTTAAGACAACTGACAATAATGAGGTTTAGCAAGGATGTGGAACAACTGAAATCATTCACTGCTGGAGGGCGTGATACATGATACACCACACTGGAAATTCTTTTGTTGATCTTAGACCACAGTTTACCACACATCCCAGCAGTTCCACCCCTACGTATTTACCCAAGAGCACTGAAAACACGTTCATGCAGAGACCTATGTACAAGTTTTCATTAACAGTCTTATTCATCATAGCCAAAATACTAGAAGTAACACCAGTGGCTTAACTGGTGAGTGGATACAGGAACTGCGGTGTCCATACGATGGAATTCTACTCAGAAATGACAAGGAATGAGCCACCAGTACAGTAGCGTGGTGACTCTCAAAAAGTCATGCTAAGAACCAACGGCTACAGAATGCATGATTCCATTTATATTACATTCTAGAGAAGGCAAAACAAGGGGCAGAAAACAGATGCAGTGGTGGTTTGAGGGTGTCAGGAAGGGATTGACTCCAGAGGACACAAGAAGCCCTTTGGGGTGATGGAGATAATTCTACATCTTGACATGGTGGTGGCACGTCACCATGTACCTTCCTTAAAACTCACCACCCTGCGTATCTAAGAGTGAACTTTGTGTTCGATAATACCACAGCAACCCTAATTTAAACAAAACAAAAACAAAACTTCCTCAATTTAGTATCGTGAGGATATATACAAATAGTGATTTTTTAAAATCACATAAAAAATAATTGCCTTTCTTTTCTTTTTTTCTCCAAATAGGCAACATTTCACACTCCTTTTAGTCACCTTGGCCAAACTCCAGAAGGTTGTTCCTCTTACACTTTTCCGAAGATAATGGGCCCAGCCAAGGTAACTCTTGGAAACCTTCAAAATAAGTTGTAATAAGTAACCTCTGAGGGCACCTGGGTGGTTCAGTTGGTTAAGCATCTGACTCTTGATTTCGGCTCAGGTCATAATCCCAGGGTCGTGGGATCAAGTACCGTGTCAGGCTCCGCGCTCAGCGGGCACCTGCTTGAGGATTCTCTCTCTCCCTCTGCCCCACCCCCACTTACACTCTCTCTCTCTCAAATAAATAAATAAATCTTTAAAAAAAGTAACCTCTGTTCAAAAAGTAATTCTATACTTTTTTCTTTCCCTTGATAATCTAGACAGAAGAAAAGTGAGTTATTTGCTCCTCAACTCTAAAAGTTTCAAATATAGAAGAAATGTCTGATATGAGGGAAAATTAGAAACTCTCCCCGACTCCCAGAACTAGGATCTGCTTTTGCCCCTGGGTGCCCGGTGCCTCGTCCTCCACTGCTGTGTGGCATCAGTCGTTAGAGGACCAGGGCTGTGCCAGCTCGGGGTCACACTTAATATCTGTGTAGATGAGCAGCGTCCCCTGGAAGCCGTCCTCATGGGGGTTTACGCCTTCCAGAGCTGCTCCCAGTCATAGCAGCCTCCACGTCAGTAGGTTTAGCTATGTGTTCAGACTCCCAGAAGCGTTCCGTGGCTGTGCAGATCTGTCCCCGAGTCTCTGGAAGCCCAGGTGCCAGGCTCTGTGCATGATGAGACCCAACAGCAAAGAGCCAAGGATAGGGAAGGCTTAGCCAATTCTTGGAGCTCTGAATGGGGAGGGGTTGGAATGGAGCCTGTTTTCATTGACTGCCAGGTTTTCGCTGCAAATATATAGTTTTCTAAAGCTCATTATTCCATCACATGTCCTGAGTCTTTATGACAGATTTTAACTTTGAAAAGTTGGGCAGAGCCAACTCCAAGGCTTAGGGCATTTGACTATGAAATAATATTTTTCCGAAAGCACTCATGGAAATACAGAGGATATCCGCTTGGTGACCTCTGTTTTGTTAGAAACTGAGTATTAGTCCTTCTTCCCTTTTCTTTCGTCAGGTGAACTAATTCGTAGTACCTGCGCAGGTAAAGAAAAGTGTCAGAGCTGGACCACTGTGTAGAAATTCCAAGGAAGGGAATTTTGAAAGTTTGGGTGTCTCAAGTTTGGTTGGCATTCACTGTGACCTGGATTTTCCTTTTTTTTTTTTTTTTTAAAGTTCTTTTTAATTGTAGTGTATAAAGCGGAAAATTCTAGCTGTGTGGGTTAAAGGATCAGCATCTACTTCAGGTCCTTTCTACCCTGGGCTCCCTGATCTTGCCTTCTCAGCACAGACACATACAGAAGCAAAAATACTTGCAAACCTTCCAGAGAGCCTGAGATGCTCTCAGCACAGTTTGTCAAGCATTGCCTATCGAGGTCTTCAGTTTCGCCCTTAACAAGAAATACTGGCAGCCTCAAAAGACTATAAAGGAACTGCCTTCTGTCTCCTCAAAGTGGTTAGTTCAGAGGTTAGTTCTGAGGTTAACTGACCTGTGTTTCATTAAGTTAATGTCTTAATCTTGCTTTCATTTCAGGCAGCAGAGATGCTCATTTTTGGGAAAAAGTTAACTGCTGGAGAAGCCTGTGCTCAAGGACTTGTTACTGAAGTTTTTCCTGATAGCACCTTTCAGAAAGAAGTTTGGACCAGGCTGAAAGCATATTCAAAGCTCCCCCAGAATGTCAGTGTTGTCTTTCGGTTTTTCGTTTTTTCTCCTAGTAGAAACTGTGGAAATAGTTTATTTGCCTTAAGGGAATAAGCATTTTAAAAAACAAGATATACCTTGGTTGGCTTTAAGCACATCTAAATTTGAGATTAAAAATAACCATAATAATGTTAGAAATGCTGATTTTTTAAAAAAAAACTTCTCAAGGGGGCATTTTAGTGCGATGATATGTATGAAGGCAGAGGGACAGTTCTTTCTGGGGAAAACTTTGAGAAGGATGATAAGTGGTATTTGCCGAGCACTTTTATTCTTGAATCCAGTTGCGAAGCCATATCAGGTTGACTTTTAGGAGATTCTTCTTGTGTAGCACTTTGGTTTTTATATGTGATGACTCGTGACTGACTGCTCTTATATTCATTCTGCTGAAAATGTGGTCCTGGAATCAGAAGCTTTAGTGTCTCTCTGAGGCTTTTTAGAAACGTGTGATCCCAGGTCCTCTCCCACGTCTACCAAGACGGTTCACACACACATTACAGTTTGAGAAGCACTGTCCTATGTTACACATACATCTGAAGGCAGGACAGGATTCCATGAACCATGGAGAAACAAAATTCAGCACTCTAGAATAAACCCCACTCCCTCTAGAATGCCCCTTAGCCTTACTGTTGGTTTTGTGTTTTCAGGCCCTGCGTATTTCGAAACAGATCATCAGAAGTCAGGAGAAGGAAAAGCTGCATGCTATTAACGCCAAAGAAAGCAGCATCCTTCAGGAAAGATGGCTGTCAAGCGAATGCATGAATGCCATCATGAACTTCTTCTCCCAAAAAGCCAAGCTGTGATGCCTGTTACAGCAGTGTTCTGCATTTCAAATGAAGGGATGTGCTGTCATTTCTGGTTTTCAATACTTGAACTAATAAACTGTGCCTTTTCTCAGCGCTAACATATCATTTATGATTATCATAGTTCACTAGAGCCCTGTTGACAAACCAGTTACATACCACAAGCTTTAAGAATTTATGTAAGATTTGGGTCATAGGGAGTCTTACATCTTTCGACATGAATCTGTGTTGCCAGGAGCACTGAAACATGGTGCCTGGGGTACTGCTTTGAAAAGCATTCACAGCATTGCAAGCTGAAGTCATGTCTTTGAACACCACGATAGCGCTTTGCCGACCACAGAGGGTGACGGACGTAATTGGCCCAAACACCAACAGCCTCTGGATCACTGATTGAAGGTCTTCCGTGGGTTGCATGTTCTTCTTCAACCACCTAACAAGGGAGCAAATGGAGCAGTAGTAGTATTAGAAAAAAAACACACAAAAAAGAAAAGAAATGACAATCTTCGTTCCATGTTTTTCCCCATAATTTAATAAAAAGGCAAGAAGGGAAGATGGGGCTATCACTGGAAATAAAAGCAGTGATCTGGATCAGCTATTATGTAATTATGTATGATATAGTTCTTGTCCAATGTGGTATATTATGAAAGACATACCTCCAAACTCCCTTAACCATCCTTGTAACTTCCTGTTTCGATTAGTGCCATATCTATTGAGAAGGACGAGGGCATAATTCCAGTGGCTGCCAAACTGGCATGAAATATTTTGCTCTCCTAAATACCCTCATTTCTCTACAGAAACCAAATAAACTATAGAAGCCATACATCTACAGCAAACCAGTGGATGTCCAACAAAGAAAATATACATTGAAAATTGTAGGACACTGTGTGGTGTTCTTAGTTGCCCTTACCCCACCCGCTACCCTGCATGGTGTGGTTGGAAGAAATGCACCTAAGTCCTAGCTCCCTGCCTTGGGATGGAAGAAACAGAGTGAACTTTGTTTGCAACCTTCTGGGCTGTGTGTGGGCTGCCTGAGGGACTGGTTGCTGTCTTGCCTGACTCACAGTTCAGGAGGAAAAGGTTGGCGTAGTCTGGATGGGAGTCAAGAAACCACGAGAAGCAGTGGCATACAATGAATCATGAAAGGTACAAGCTGACTGCAGACCCTCCAATGCGGGGAGGGAGATCACAGAAAAGGAATCATATAGAGCACTTAAGGCCCTGACAAGAAGCTGGAGACTCTAGACATTGAAAGCAGCTGAGGAAAAATTAAAAACAAACAAACAAACAAAAAAAAACCCAAAGCAAACAAACATACAGGCCTAGACAGGAAGCATGCCCAGAAAATACCTGAGAAGTCCTGGGCTAATCTGAAGACTCACAGGCCCACTCCTGAGAGAAGGTCTACCCATCAGTGAAAGAGGAACTTGTTTTTGCAGAAATGCCCAGTTTTCAACAAAGGATTATAAGGTGTGCAAAGAAACAAAAACAACCCACTAGAAGCAGGAAAAATTCTGGAAATATCCCCCCCACCCAAAAAAAGTGATCAGATTTACTAGATAAGGACTTCAAAACAAATGTCGAATACCTCAAAAGAGCTAAAGGCAACCATGGACAAAGAATTAAAGGACATCGGGAAAGCAGCACATGAAGAAAATACAAGTATCGACAAAGGAGGTGCATGTTATTGTTTTTTTAAACCAAATCCTGGGCTGGAAATTATAATTACTGAATGGAAGAATTCACTAGAGGGGGTTCAACATCAAACTCAAACAAATAGAAGAAAAATCAGCAAACTTAAAGAGAAGTCGTTTGAAATGATCAAATTTGAAGAGCTAAAAGAATAAAGAATGAAGAAAAGTGGATAGGGTCTAAAAGGCTTATGGGACAGACTCCACCAAGCCAACCAATGTACACACAATGGGAGTCCTAGGCAGAGAAGGAGTGAGGTGGGAAAGGAGGAGAGAAAGGGCCAGGGTGGTTATTTGAAAAAAAGATGGCCAAAAAAAGAATGGCTAAATTTGAGGAAAGATGTGAATATACTAATCCAAGAAGTACAATGAACTTTAAGTAGGATCCACACAAAGAGACCTACAGTAAGACATGTTATAATCAGATCTGTCCAAGACAAAGAGTGGATCTTGAAAGCAGCAAGAGAAAAGCAACTCATCACATAAAGTGATCTTCAAAAAGATTATTAGATTTTTCACCAGAAACCTTACGGTTCAGAAGGCAGTTAGGATGACATATTTAAAATGGTGAGATAACCTACATCTGGCAAACTGTTCATCTTCAAAGATAAGGAAGAAATTTAAGACATTCCTGCACAAAAACTGGGGATGTTCATTACCACTAGATCTGCCCCCACCAGAAATACTAAATGACGTCCAAGTTGAAATGAGAGGATAGTAACTCAAAGCCACATAAATATATAAAGTTCTCCAGTGAAGGTAAATACATGCACAAATATAAAAACAGTATTTTTATAATTTTGGTTTGCAAATCTACTTTTTCTATAGGATTTAGAAGACAAATGCATAAGGTGTAATTTATTTATATCAATGGGTATGCAAGGTATAAAAGTAATATGTAACAAATAACATAAGTGGAGGGGTGGAGCAGCAATTGAGTTCAGTTGGTAACAAAGATACATTGTTATAGATTGTTAGAACTACATATAAGATACAGTTAATCTGTAATACAGATTGTTATAACTTTAGGATGTTATTATGTAATGCCCATGGTAACCCCCCCCCAACAAATACCCATAGAAGACACACAGAAATGAAAAGAGAATCAAAATGTGTCAGTATAAGAAATTAACTAAACACAAGGGGAAGCAGTAATGCAGGGAATGAGGGAACTATGTAAAACATACAGAAAACAACATGGCAAAAGTAAGTGCTTCCCTATGAATAATTAACTTCAAATGTAAATGGATTGAACTCTCCAAAAACCATGGACTGATAGAATGGATAATAAAACCAGTCAGGATTCAGTTAATATACTGCCTATAAGAGTCTCACTTTATTTTTTTTAATTTTTTTAAAGATTTTATTTGACACAGAGATCACAAGTAGGCAAAGAGGCAGGCAGCGGGGGTGGGAGGGAGCAGGCTCAATCCCAGGACCCTGAGACCATGACCTGAGCTGAAGCAGAGGCTTAACCCATTGAGCAACCCAGGTGCCCTAAGTCTCACTTTAGATTTAGGGACATGCATGGTTTAGAAATGAAAGGATGAAAAAAATATTCCTTACAAATAGTAAGCAAAGGATAATAGGGATGGTTATACTAATATCAGACAAAGGAATCTAAAAACTTATAAATAAGAGATAAAGACATGATAGTAAAAGGGTTAATACAGCAAGAAGATATAACAATCATAAGCATTTACATGTCAAATATTGGACCTCCAATATGGAATAATAATGTATAACCTAATTATATATATATATATATATATATACAAACAATGTGTGGCATGGCATAAGGACAGACCTATAAACAATGGACTAGAATAGAGAATCAGAATAAATCTTTGCATATGTGATCAAATGTTTTTTTTTAATTTTTTATTCTTTTTTCAAATGTTGTTTTTGATGATCAAATGATTTGACAAGGGTGCCAAGACCATTCAACAGGGAAAGGATGACATTTTCAGTAAATGGTGGGGGTTATTTGTTTGGATAAAACAATGTGTTATATACAGACAATGGAATATTCAGCCTTTAGAAGGAAGGAACTTCTGACATAGGCTTCAATATGGATGAACGTTGAAAACATGCAAGTGAAATAAGCCAGACACAAAAGGACAAATGCTGTATGGTTTTACTTATTGAGGGGTCTAGATTAGGCAAATCCATAGAGACAAAAAGTAAAATAATGTTTGCCAGATGCTGGAGGGATGAGAGAATAGGGAGTGAGTGTTCAGTGGGGACAGAGTTTCACTCTGGGAAGATGAAAAATTTCTGGAAATGGACAATGATGGTTTATACAACAATGTGCATGTACTTAATGCCACTGAACTGTACACATTTAAAAAATGGGGAAAATAGGAAATTTTATGTTGTGTACATTCTTCTGTGATAATAATATTTTTAAAAATACAATTCACCATATTAATAGTAAAGATAAATACTATCAACTTGATGGATAGAGAGAAAGCATTTGTATCCATTATGATAAAAACTAAGCAAACCAGCCACAATCACGAACTTCTTCAAAATGATAAAAGTAACCTGCGAAAACCAACAGCCAACAAAATACTTAATTATTTTCCCCTAATGTGAAGAACAAGTAAAGATGCCTGCTTTTATGAGTCCTAACTTTTTTAAGGAAAGCCAATGAATGTTCATAGAAGAAAAGGTGAATAAATATGTCATTTCTTATGTTCTAACAATCGAGCTATCTTTTCAGAAACCAAACAAACTAGGATGTAAATTAAAATATATTAGTTCATGTCAAGACATTATGGCCTGAAATTGAGGTGTATAAACTTCCCATGATTGTGAAATTGCTTTTTTCTCTTTTATAGGCCTCCAAAGTATGGTTAAATAATCTTAAGTCATCAGGAATCATCACTTAAAATAACTTATACCCTTAATCTAGATACAAATTTAGTTCCTTGTATTGTCCAAGGAGAAAATACCACTGTTCTAATTCTTTTACAACATATCTTTGCCTTCTTTGAAGGTGGATTTTTAAGTCAAATTGTCAAGTTATGCCACTGAGGATACTGGGGTAAAAAAGTAGAAAAGGAAATTAATTCCATAGAACCATAACCACAGTAGGAGTGTCTACTACAGGAAATTCATGAGCTGGATGTCTCTGCCTGGCTCTGTCACCCTCAAAGCAGAGAGAACTCTGTCTTTATAGCAAATTATATATTTCTCCTGTCAGCCTAGCAACATGTTTTGAATACCCACTAAGTACTAACTAGAAATCCTTTATTAGGTATTGTACAGCAACACGTACAGCAATACTAAAGAAACAAATATGGAGACATCATCTGTTTGGCATAATTAGGGAAGGAAGCAGACCAACAAAGATAATTTGCCAAGGAACCAAAGCTTATAACTTGCTTTTTTCTTTTTAGAGAGAGAGTGTGTGTGCAGGAACCAGGGGGAGGCAGAGGGAGAGGGAGAGCGAGAATCCCAAGCAGGCTCCACAGCCAGCACAGAGCCAGTCATGGGGCTCGTTCCCAGGGCCCTGAGACCATGACCCCAGCCAGACTCAAGAGTCAGATGCTGAACGTGGGTTCAGCCACCCAGGTGCCCCAAAGCTTATAACTTCAAGTGTCAGAATCCAGGCAATTCCACATGCCCGCTGTTACCACCTAGTCTGATGCTCACCACCCCCTCGACTGCTACCACCCTCGCTCCCCAACAGGCCAGGGAGGTTTCAGATCAGATCCCGTCACCCCTCTTTTGAAGACCCTGAAATGGCTCCCATTTCTGTCCATGTAAAATCCGGCAGAGGACAGATCAAGCCAAGCTATTAAAACTATTGGATGCTGGGCCCTTGGTCATGCTGGGATGAGCTGCTCCTTCCTGACTTCATGCAGCATAAAAGGGCCATAGCTCAGTGTGGGGTCCCTCTCCAAGAATCCCATTCCAGCCCTGCTAGATCTCTGCTCACCAACCTGCAATGCAATGGCTCTTGGGGGACACATACACCCACTCTTGTGTCCCTAAGTTTTCTCTGATTGAGGACTCCTCCAGATGCTTGGCTGTGTGAAAATGGGGCTTATGTGCTTTAACAGCCATACTTGTTCTCAAGCCTATCATGTATCTCAAAGACCACATTAAGTCATTTTTTTAGCTCAGGCATAAATAGAGTCTGTGGTCATCCTGCATATCTCTAAATATGTCGGCAGCAGACAAAAATTAGACACCTACCTGACGGTTATGGTTGACATTGGAGGTACCTCCAAGTTTTTATTCCACAAGTAGCATTCCTTCCACCCACGATTCGAGTTGTTGATGGATTTCCTTTTCCACGGGGGCATGCTACTTGGCTTCGGGGTCGCATTAATCTCTTTTGGGAACTGGTGTCTTGCTAAGATCCTTTCTAAGCCAGAGAATTCAGAATTCTGACCTAGTAATAGAAGAAACATTTATGGTGATTCAGCGTGCCTTTCCATGTTTGCATAGCAAGAGTAACATGGCACTCATTTGAGAAAGAGTATTTATGCTACTTCATAATTACTATTGAACTGCCATGCCTTCACTGCAAAAACATTACTGAGCTCCACTTAGACCCGAGCCTGGTCCTGGACATCTAATAGACTGCAGAGTAAATGAATGAGTGAATGAACATACAAACCAACGTGCTGGTACCAGCACGAATACTGAAGTCTATTTAAACAATTTGTGCCTGATTCTCAAATTAATGACAATTGCACAATTATTTCTATCTTCGGAGATGTTAACCACACTCCTCATTTACATCACATGCATGGCTTCACGCTGACCTCATTTGGCCCCTAACCAAATGTTCCTCTCATGGGACCAAGAGCTTGTGCCAGAATGTGATTCAATACCCTACATCCTTCATCAAGACAGCCCTGCTACCAAAAGGAAGGGAAGGGAAAGGAGTCAGTAGAACTACACTATGAATTTAGTGACATAACCGACTTACACTGTAGTGTAAGCTTTTTCTTTGCCAACTGGTAATGATCGGAGGATCAACAGTCAGTGTTCAGGCTGCTTTGTGCATGGCTCTACAATCCATCTGGGTGTATGAGAAACTAAGACATTGTCATCAACCTAATGCAGGAAGAGGAGTTGAGCCCTGGGGATTCAGGAAACACTGAATGCATTTTCAATTATAAAATTGCATTTTAATTACAATAGAAATTAGATCAGAACTCGTCCAGCCTCCCTTGTCTCTCAGACTGAACCACTGATGGTCTCTACTGGACAGGGTAATTGGCACAGACACCAACGAACCAAGAATTGAACCAAGGGGCCATAGCTCGGCAATCTGACTAAATGATGTCATGATTAATAGGTTAACCCTTAGAGGCCTGAAAATCCTTCCAAGTGAGTCAAAAACAGGGCTGGAATCTGGGGCTCCTGCCCAGTGGTCTCAGGCCTGGCCCAGACAGCTTCTACCTATTGCTCTTAGAAGCAGTGTATTAGCTCAGGATCCCTCAGCGGGGCACCCAGAAGCTCTCCCAGGCATTGGAATCATAGGAAGAGCATATGTTCTGCTTTGGTTGTCAGAATTTCAAAGCTGAAGTTAATATTAAACTGAACTAATTAACCCAGTTCAGGTATTTAAGGTTCAAGAAATTATTGGAGGAGGTGGCTCAGTCAGAAGAGCATGGTCTCTGGGTCGAAAGTTTGAGCCCTGTGTTGGGTGTAGAGATCACTTAAATAAATAAAACTTAACTAAAAAAGAAATTATTGGAAGTATAATAATATTGAATATCAATTTATAGGTGACATTTTAGGTATATTGGACTGTGAGCTACTTGGATGGTTTTGTATTTCTTATTTTAATGTGCGGAGGGCAATACATGTGAGATGGGCAGATGAATGGACAGAAGAATGGGTGAAGGAATTAGTAATCACAAGACAAATCAGCATAGATCAGGTACACAAGTACCTGAGCCAAGTACACAAGCCAGTGTGTGTGTGTGTGTGTGTGTGTGTGTGTGTGTTTACCAGAGGCAGTAAAAATAGGTAACTTAGAACTTCAGGCTTTAAAATGATTTGTTGCTTTCACACATCATAATTGTCTTCTCCAGTCTACACACAGAAGTCATGGATTTGGTGGCCACCGGTGGCCGGCCAGACTGTGAACAGCACACACACACACACACGCACACGCACACGCACACGCACACGCTGCTTCGAGAGCTGCCCCACTGGTCTCCTTCCCCAGCCCACTCACTCTTTTGGAAACCACTCTTCCTGCCTGCCTTGTCCTTCCCTGTATCCAGTTAAGCAGCCTCCTGAAGTATCTGGGGTCGAGGGTGTGGAGAGCAGTGAATTAACCAAGAGAGTCTTCTTCTTAAGCATTAAAAACAACATACAAAAGCCTTAAACTTCTGCCCACTCTCTAGTTTTTGGTTTGGTGCCAGTCATTGAAACACTGGTTTGGACAGTCTTTAAAAAACATCATAGAACCAATACTAACATGATCTCAGAATAGCTCCTTACACTGCTGTGCTGGGATGTGGGGTAGAGGAGGAAGAGGGTCGCTCACAGAGGCTTGTGATGTTTGGGGGCAGTTATCTGGGCACGGTAGACCTAAATGCGTATAGTATAATGGATCCTCATTCCTCATTTTATGTTTTTCGTATGATTTAACTTCCTATTATTTAAAAATCCAGAAAAAAAAGAAAAGGACCCTGTGTTTCTAACTATAAATTTTTAGTTCTCTCTTTTTTTTCTTCTGATGGCTCTGGGTAATAAATACAGTCTAATGCAGGCAAAGCTCCCCGGCGGGTGCAGATGGGGCTGACGTGAGAAGAAATAAAACCCATTTTAAGGCCAGGTGAAATTTCGACTACACGGAGGCTTTAGACATGTAGCTGGGAGCCGCTGGTATCCATTATTGAATTCATGATCTGACAGATGAAAGTGTGAGAAATGGGGTCATCTCTTGCAGATCAAGGCAATCACTGGAAATGGCATTCTGGAAATGAAACAGCCTTTGAGTGAAGAATTCAAGGTCTCAGAGGCTAATGTCCCCTCAATGACGGGATTCTGCCTCAGGCCAGGGTCCTTCAAGGCACAGACACAGGACTCTGAGGAAACATTTCTGCCTGAAAACGCCGTTCACCTCAGCTACGTCACTCACTTTCAGCTGACTTCCGACCACAGTGAGGAGTCCTGCAGCCCGACCCCTCTGAAACAAAGCCATCTCAGTGCTCATGAACGGCGGTTTTACCTGGCAGGAACACTCCCAGGGGCTGAAGGTGTATCAATACCTATCAGTGTCTCCATTGGCAGGCTAAGGGAACAAAACTGAAATCAACATATAACTGAAATATCACGAGAGAGTCAAAACCTGATTCTGCTACCTCACATAAACGCTGAATGCATATTCAATGGTAAAACTGCATTTTAATTGCAAAAGTACAGGATAAATTTCCATCGGAATAAAGTCAGACAACTTAAAGTAGTATACATAGTTAAAGGAAACATGTCATTCCTCTTTCTCCAGAGGTAGCCAAGGGCTGGAATGTGATATGTCTCCTTCCAGAATTCTTTCCTCTGCGTGTACACACGTTTGTATGTACAGGTATACAGTATTCTTTTGGTATAAATGGAATCAGTGTTTCTTATTTTGCAGCTTATTTATTAATATTCTACAATGTGTTTTGTAAATATTTAAACATCAGCTTCCTTTTTAATAGTATTGCTCAATACGGATGCATCCGTTATTTTATCATTCTGGCATTGAATGACATGAAGCTATTTATAATCTGTCACCATGATAAACAATGCTTCAGCACACACACTCCTTCCTGCATCTGTGTGCACAGGTGCAAGAATTTCTCTAGGACACTAACTGGAAGGGGAACTGCTAAGTCAAAGGGCATAGGTATGTAATGGGAGGTTAAAATGTGAGTTTTTCTGTTGTCTTAGTTTTGTCCTAAGGCCACACAGTCTGAGGAAAATCTGGTAGATGGGAGTTTTTTACCTATGTACAGCATACCTATTTAAAAAAAAAAAAAAAAAAAAAAAAAAGCTAAACATGGGATGCCTGGGTAGCTCAGTCAGTTAAGTGCCTTCGGCTCAGATCATGATCCCAAGGTCCTAGGATTGAGCCCCACATTGGGCTCCTTGCTTAGCTAGGAGCCTGCTTCTCCCTCTGCCTGCTGCTCCCCCTGCTTGTGCTGTCTCTCTGACAAATAAATATAATCTTAAAAAAACAAACAAACAAGAAAAAGCTAAACATTTTTTAAGGCATGTGAGGATTTCTTTAGGCTGAGTTGTTGTAATGCTGTGCACTGTAGCACCTCTCCTCCCCCTGGCAGATGAAGGTACTTTAAGAGAATGACCTGCGACCCACAACTCTACAGTCAACTAATCTTTGGCAAATCAGGAAAGAATATCCAATGGAAAAGACAGTCTCTTCAACAAGTGGTGTTGGGAAAACTGGACAGCCACATGCAGAAGAATGAAACTGGACCACTTTCTTAACACCATACACAAAATAAATTTAAAATGGATGAAAGGCCTAACTGTGAGACAGGAACCCCTCAAAATCCTAGAGGTGAAAAAGAAGCAGCAACCTCTTTGACCTTGGCCATAGCAACTTTTTACTAGACATATCACTGGAAGCAAGGGAAATAAAAGCAAAAATGAACTATTGGGACTTCATCAAGATAAAAGGCTTTTGCACAGTGAAGGAAACAATCAATAAAACCAAAATGCAACCTATGGAATGAAAGAAGATATTTGCAAATGGTATGTTGGATATAGGACTAGTAACCATAATCTACAAAGAATTCATCAAAATCAGCACCCAAAAAACAAAAATCCAGTCAAGAAATGGGCAGAAGACATGAATAGACATTTCTCCAAAGTAGACACACAAATGGCCAACAGATACATGAAGTAAAGCTCCACATCACTTGGCATCAGAGAAATACAAATCAAAAGCACCATGAGATACCCCCTTATACCAATTAGAACGGCTAAAATTAACAAGACAGGGAACAACAAATGTTGGCGAGGCTGTGGAGAAAAGTTTAGTGGGAATGCAAACTGGTACAACCACTCTGGAAAACAGTATGGCGGTTCCTCAAAAAGTTACAAGTAGAACTACTCTACAAGTCAGCAATTGCACTACTAGACAGTTACTCAAAGGATACAAAAGTGCTGATTTGAAGGGGCACCTGCACCCCAATGTCTATAGCAGCACTACCGACAGTGGATAAAGAAGGTGTGGCATACATATACAATGGAAAAAGAATGAAATCTTGCCATTTGCAACAATGTGGATGGATCTAGAGGGTATTATGCTAAACGAAATAAGTCTTTCAGAGAAAGACGAAAATCATATGATTTCATGCATATGTGGAATTTCAGAAACAAAACAGATGAACATAGGGGAAGGGAAGGAAAAAATAGAATAAGATAAAAACAGAGAGGAAGGGGTGCCTGGGTGGCTCATTTGGTTGACCACTGGACTCTTGATTTTAGCTCAGATCAGGATCTCAGGGTCTCCAGATTAAGCCTCGTGTCAAGCTCCCTACTCAGCACTGAGTCTGCTTGTCCCTGTTCCTCCCTCTTTGCCCCTCCACTCACTTGCTTATTCTCAATCTCTCTCCATAAAATAAATAAATAAAATCTTCAAAAAAGAGGGTGGGGGAGGCAAAACATAAGAGACCATAGTTAAGAGGGTTGCTAAAGGGGAGGTGGGGGGGTGGGCTAGATGGGGGATGGGCATTAAAGAAGACGCTTGTGTTGAGCACTGGGTGTTACATGTAAATGATGATTCACTAAATTCTACTCCCAAAACCAATCTTACAATATATGTGACCTAACTTTAAATTAAAAAAAAAATAAACAAACAAGTAAATAAATAAGTAAAAGAACCCGTTGGGGAGTTGGGCTATGTCCCCTAATGCCTGATGTGTTCATTTCTTAGGACTGCCATAATGAAGTGCCACAATCTGGGTTGCTTAAAACCAAAAATGTGTTCTTTCCCAGTTCTGGAGCCTGGAAGTCCGAAACCAAGCCCTGTTCCCTCTGAAACCTCTAGGAGAGAATTCTTCCTTGTCTCTTCCTAGGTTTTAGTATTTGCTGCAATTCCTGGTGTTATCCTGACTTGCAGAAGCATCAGTCCAGTCTTTGCCTCTGTTGCCATAGGGCCATCTCCTCCCTCTGTATCTCTGTCCTCTTACAAGGAGAGTCATGTTGGACTAGGGACTTATCTGATCTCATCTTAATTACGTCTACACCTCTCTCAAGACCCTGTTTCCAAATAAATTCACACCCTGGGATATTGGGGGGTTAAGACTTCAACATATCATTTTGGGGGATGCAGTTCAACCCTAACACCTCAGAGTATAAGATAATTGGCTAGAAGCACAGCTGCCTGTGGCCACAGAGACAAAAGATCAGTGTTGGGAGCCGGTTGCATTTTCACCAGCTGGGTGAAGGTGTGAAGGACAAGGGGGTCAAGTTTTCTACATGTTATATGCAAACCCCCTCGAAATGGGTTAGTTTTGAGTCATCTTGAATAGGCTCTCAAGAGGGCTTCTGTCAACCAGTGAGGCAATCTCCACTGAAATATGTTGGGAGCTCAGCCTACAGAAGCTGGGGCAGGGGTAGGGATGGGAGAGGGGAAATGTCAGCAGGAGGCTGAGTGAATGAGAGATCTCCAGCAAGGGAACCCACCAAACAGCCTGGAAAAAAGAAGCCAGCTTTGGAAAGCTGCCATCCCTAGAAGTTATGAATGACTGGTGACAATTTGATATTTCAGTCAAGGAAGTCTTTTCAGTTCTTCCTACCCTCACCCTTGTTGACCCAATATCAGCCAGGGAGCAGGGAAGGAGCGATAGAGAAAAAGAAAAAAAAAACAAACAAAAACACCACCTCACGGGAGTGGGGAGCAGGGAGGTTTTTACTCTGGTTGAGGTGTTTGGAATTTGGACACTAGAGTGGACTTTTTGTTATCGGAATGAACATGACCAGGAAAGCTGTAAGGTCTGCTCGTAATTTCACCCAAAGGTGATGAGTGAAGAGCAAGAGAATGGGCCAAAGGGGGAAGTTGTGAGAAAAATGAAAATTCTTTTCTACTTACTCTTTGCCAAGTTCAACTCATTTAATAAGTCAGTAACATACATTTTAAATTTTGACAAAGACTTTCAAATTATCTTCAAAAAATGTCTGAATCAATAAGCATGCTAATACTGATTGTGAGGGTATTAATTTCCCCACATGTTCATCACAATTGATCTTTCAAGATTTGAGCAGTATGATGGCCTAAAAAATACCACGTTATTTTCTACTTCCTCCATTACCAGAGTGTTTGAACATTTTTCGTGCTTATCGATAATTTGCATTTCATCTTGTGAATTGCCTATCTATGACATGTATCACTTCTAGTAGGTTCCTTATATTTTCCTTGATTATTTTTATGTAATTGTTAGTGTAATCTAGATGTTGGGGCCAATTCATAAAACTTGTGTTTTCAGGGACCAAGGACTAATCAGAATACAAATGGACAAATTTGCCATCAAACCTTCCTACCCATGACTTGTGTCTTAATCACTGTGGCAGCTGCTCCTTTGCTTTCTCAAGTCCATGGGCACAAGTGGCTACCAGCTACCTTTGCCCTTCATTGAAACATGACAATTCAGGAGCCAAGCTCCACTCAATTCTGCAAATCAGTCCAGTTATCAACTGTCTGATGGAATTCCGGCAGTGGTGGGCCACTCCAAACTCGAGAAACAGAAGGTCATTTGTAAGCCTCGTGGGGTGGGGGGAATATCCGGCTTCTCTCTGGAGAAGTACAAATGGAGGAAGAAGCAGCAGGAAAGAGAGCAAAGGCCTGACCTTCAACTTGAAGTTCTCTCACTCATCTCAAAATCACATCTACACCTTAAATTTCGTGGTTATTTCCCACTTAGTCCACTTTCCATCATTCCATAGGTAAGCTTTGCTGAGAGAAGAGTTACAGACTTATCCCCGATCATAAAAGACCAGTGAAAGAAAAGGAATGGGAAGGATTGATGGTGGAGTCCATCGCTGGGCAGGCTACACATGGGGCCAAGGGTCTCCAGGACGGACCACATCCACCTTGTAGAGAGTCAGTTCTTGGGGCATCTTGGTGGCTGTCGGTTGAGCATCCAACTTTTGATTTCAGCTCAGGTCATGATCTCAAGGTTGTGAGATCGAGTCCCCTGCGGGGCTCGGCGCTCTGCGGGGAGGGTGCTTGGGGTTCTCTCTCTCTCCCTCTGCCCCACCCCCTGCTCTGTCTCTCTTTCTCTTTCTCTCTCTCAAAACAAAACAATAACAAAACAGTTCTTGTGGCTAAAAGAAGCAGGAGTTTGTGCCAGTGTAAGGTGTGTGCTTGTTAAAAGAGCTCACAGCACCCTCTACCCACGTACAGTTTTGTTTGTCCTCTTCACTCTTGTAGGAATAAAGTTTCTCCATCAGATGGTTAGGCAGCAGTCTGTGAAGGCTGGACAGAGTCTCAAAGGTGTGGCACAGAACCTCGGGCTGCGCGTAGTTTTTCGGGGTCTTGGGTTTGTCTAGGAGAGGAAGTTTCAGTGGGAAGTGGTTGTTTTTGGCTGTCCCCATGATGACCCACTGAGTTCGAGACAAGAACAAACAGAAAATTGAAAAGGTGGGACCCCTTGTCGTTGTTCCTTCCCCACACTTTTCTCCATCTCTGAGGAGATGCTATGGAATCCCTTTTCTGGTCTCTGATCGCTTAGCGTTCTGAGAGTCACAATGGCCTGGACCTTGGCCTGGAACCCTGAGTGCTCCTCCTATCTTCAAACCAGAGGAAATTGGCCAGTCAAAAACACCTTGCCACGTCTTACAGGGATTTCAGGCAGAAACTCCAGTTTCCTGTCTGACCATGAGCAATACCTGAGGAAAACAGCGCGCTTTCCCGAAGGGATGAGGGGAGGCCAGGGTGCACGCCTCCAGTGCCGTTGCTCCAGCTGGGGCTCCGCCTGGGCCATGCCGCCTGGGTGTGTCTAATTACGACTCCACAGACAGACGGGCCCTGAGGGAGAGCGCTGACATCAACACAGTTCCCGGGCAGAACTGAGGAACGAGCTCCATCGTCCCAAACTGAGGAAATGTCCAGATTAACACAGGTAAGGAGCCCACCTGCCGCTTATTCTCTTCTCCAAACTGAACAGAGGACACCAAATGCTCAATTCTAGCTTGACTGGCAGAAGCCATGCTTCACTGTGGGCCCCGGACTGAAGTACTAAATCATCTTAAGCTCCCACACTCGGTGGCACAGCCCAGAGCAAGACAGAAGGTGCCACAGGCTCCTCCCAGATTTGGGGCAAACATGCAAATACTAAGGGTGGTTCTAGCTACTACTTGATCTCAGCACGCTCCACCCAGGGGGCCGGGTTCACTGTCATTGCTCTGTCCCATGAACTGGCTGGGAATCGCAAAGTGATCAGAAACGGGGAAAGCCATGGGGGCCAGGCATGCAGAGGGCAAGAGCTGGGAGAGTTGGCCAGCTTTTTACCAAATGTAAAACCCCTTGGCCAAGACTATAAAAACTCCAGGATTATATCGTAGGATATGTTAGTGCCCAGAGCAGAAGATACCAACTTTCACTTCTTAACTTTCAGGTTCATTTTCCATTTGCAAACTTAAAAATTAAGACTTTTAAACATACACAAAAAGGTGTATTTTAAATATACTTAAAATATGTTATAGAATCAGAACTGCTTGAATGGATTGTGATTCTCATGATCTCATGGGTGTTTTTGGGAAGAGAAAGGAATGGGTGGAAGTGAGGAGGGGTAGAATATTTTGATAGATGGAGACTTCTTTCTTCTAAGCAAACTTGAGTGTATTACTCTAAGTATTTATAAACCAAAAAGAACAGACCATGTTTTAAGCCATTCAACAGGCCAAGGAAGTGATATATTAAAATTGATTATACTGCGTGTAAATTTATATATACGTATTTATATATAAACTGATAAATCAATATAAAGTAATTGATACACATATATAATGCTATTATATATAATGCTATATATAAATTTATATATCAATATAAATTAATCGATGAAGATGTATTTATATAATGTGATGTCAATACCATTGACTATATTCCCTATACTGTACCCTTCTTCCCCACCATATGTTCTTAATCATGGCTTTACATAGCAACTTATGGAGTGTTTCTAGTTATCTGGTTTAATGACTGAAATCAGAAGTAGGCCATAATTATGATATTTTATTTTTAAGTAAACTATCTGATGGACACATGTCTTTTGCAACGGATAAGACTTCTCCAAGGAATCCATCTCCTTCGGTTTTCTCTAATTGTGCCGCAGTGGAGAGAAGACTGTTCAGGACCCCAGTTCCCTCCTGCTGCTAACTAGTACTGTAATCTTAACCTCAGCCATCCAGGTCTCAGCCTACAGAAGGAATGTGCTCTGATGAAACAGACCCTTCTATTTTGTTTCTTGTTTGGATTTTGGCTTATTTCCAATGCCGTTCTTCCATGATCGATACATTTCCATTTCCACAACCACAGTGGTACCATATAATTATTTTCTCAAAGAAAAGATGAGAGAGAATTCTCCTAAGCCAGTCCCTCCCTTTCTATGGCGACCGAGAGTTGCTAGGAAGGGCCAGCTCAGGTAGAGCAACAGTTGTGTTATTAACTAAATTGATCCCACAGCATATCACCTGCAGGACACGGGGTTGTTTTTCTAGTTAGGCTGATCTCTTATTCATGACTTTTAGGTAAACGGCAATTCCTTTTTTTGTTCCAAAGAGGGCTGTTGTGTCTCCCGAACACCTTCCCCTTCCCCTCTGCCACGGCGGATGTGACAAGATCAGCTGGCTTCCAGAAGGCAAAGTGTTCAGTAATGTCCAAAGGGAAAAGATCATCTCCAGGTTTCTTAAAGAAAGCGTTCTAAAGAGAGTGTTCCGATCAAAGCAGATGAGGTGGGAGGGTTCCAGCCGCCAGAAGGAGGACCCAGGCTACACCTTTCCTGGCACCAGAAAGTAAGTCCTGACCCTGAAACTTAAAGCTTCCAAGTGTATTGGTGATGTAAGGCTAAGAAAACACGACTGCAGAGCATAGACATGTCTGAAGGACAGAAGCCATAAAGCTATTCCAACGGCAGGCATCAAGTCCTGCAGAAAAATCTAAAATAGAGCTGGACATATACAATGGAGAATTTATTTGAAAGTCCTGGCTGCAACTTCTGCAGGTGTAGAATTTGCCCGTGGGTCTGTTTGTCTTTTGGAAAGATGTTCCTGGCAGCTCTATCACATTCATTCTATGAATAAATAGATTTTAAACAAGATTCGTTACACTTTTGCAACAAAATGGTGGTCTCCCAGACAAGGGAGCAAACTGTTCAAGGTGAATTTTTAAAAGAGAAAAACAACACCTAACTAAAAAAATATTTTTATACGTATTTCCTTAAAAGGAATTGTACACACCCAAGAAAGTTAGGACATTTCAGGTAAATGCTCACAGAAATGGAGTCCTCACTCGGGGATAAATCTGATTGTCTATGCGTGAAAGAGAAAGCAGAAGCTGGAAACAGGGGAAGCACAGGACTGGTTACTTAATCACACACGAAATACAATTGCCCAGCATTGAACTGCAGTGTTTCCCACTGCATAGCCTCGTATGTACCTGAGAACAAAAATGCATGTCATTAATTAGAAAATACGGTCTTGACTTCCTAAAAACATTTACATAATTACACCGAACAAGATTCCATGGCAGTAAATAGCCAGCCATGACCCTGACAATGCAGCAGGGGCAAATAAAGGGAGGTGAAGGCAAACACGTGGGTTACCTAAATATATGAAAGGTTTTGAAAGAGCTGGACTGAAGAGGAAGGATTTCCCCACAGGATAATTAGAGGCTAAGTAGTGTGGTCACTGACATTTCTTTGCCTCACCCTGGGCTACAAAAAGAAATGTCTTATCAAAGTGCTTTCCGAAAGAGTCTTCTGTGGGCCCAAACTGTCACCTCTCTCAGAGTAGGGGAAACTGAGGTGAGCAGCAACGCATGCTTACCGACCAAGGGATGGGCCCAAGGCTTCCCTTCTTTCCACCAATTCAGACCACCTCCGTATTCATGAATGTAAGAGCTTGTACAATGCCACGAGACAGAACATAACCTCATCTTTCCTCACTGGGTTAGCTAAAGAGGTACAGTTTTAAAGTAAGGCAAGCCTTGATGCTACCTCTAAGAGCTGAATTCCCAGAGGGGTCTTAGGGAGGCCTCAAAGGAAGATGCGTTCTGTTGGGCTAAGGACTGATGTTAGAGCTGCCCCCAATCTGGAGACCAGTCCACTGTCTAATGACTTCCTTCAAGGCTGGATGACAGCCAACCCAAACTCAAAGTCTCGGAGTGGGTATGATTCTTGTCGTCGTTGCCCTTATATTTCCCATGACCACAGTGTCTCACGCTTACTTTCCCTTTCTCTCAGCCGTCTCTCCTCACCGCCCCGACTGCGTGCTCTCCTGTAGGACTCTCTACAGGGACGAGGCTGTCACTATCGTTTTAAAACTTTATGATTTTTATGCTGACGTCAAAGCATTCAAAAAGTCTTCAGAGAAAGGAAGGAGAGTCGAATTGATAAAGGTTTTTAGGAATATGTTCTGTCAAGAAAAAAAAAAGAGAGAGAGAGAGAGAGAGAATCTTAAAGGATGTATTTACGGATGACGAATCTCAGAGGGACTTTAAGGGATCAGGGATCAGTTCATGTTCTGAAACCAAAGGAAAATGCAGAAACCAACATAAAGCAAGGACGGTGGGAGGTGTAGAAGTTAAATAAATGACATGCGTGCACGAATACAGATATGCACACATCACTTTCATCTCCTGTCCGGAGAACAGAAAAAAAATCTTTTTCCCAGCTAGATTTATTTGTAGAATGTGTTAGCTGGGAGTACATGGACCCCAATATTTACCCAATTCAAGTAACTGTAATTTGGGAAAAACAGTATCTTGAAGGCTCAGGTTGCTAATTTTAAAATAGGAATAACTAATAGGACCAATTTCATTGTGTTGTTAAAAGTATAATATTGGTTAATCTACATAAAATGTTCAGCATTATGCCTGCCCCATGGTAACCAAATTTTATTTCTTGCAAATGTTATTTTTTGGAGTAATTAAATTAATTCCAACATTTATTGAGTACCTACTATATGCCAGGTACCAGGCCAGATAGAATAAGGCCAGATCTTGCCTTTAAGGCATTGGAAAAGATAGCAAGTGAGATATTGTAAATGAATAATTATAATGTAACTGTGAGAAGGGAATTGTAAGCAAATAAATCATAATAATGTGAATTATTATCTTGGAAGAGGTAGCAATTTATTCTTCCCCGAGGGATTAGGGAAGATGATTTGTGAGCTAGATTTGTATGGATAGGACTTAACTAGGTGGGTAAAAGGAGGGAGGAGGGAAAAAAGAAGGAGCTATTATTGGGGGGCGGGGTGTATGTCCTGGAGGAGACAGAGTGTTTAGAAAAATTGCAAAATATCTGAGGTGTTTGTATATATGTAGGCACTGGAAGTGATAAGCAGACACTAAAGCCTGGCTTATTCTTTGGGATTTAGGAGGGCATTAGAGCAGATCAGTGCTTTTTATCAGCAGAATGGAAAATAGTCTGAAGGAGAAGAGAGCACCTAGGAGGGAGGCATCCAAAGAGGCCTATGCTAATCTTATATTCATTCTCCTATATTTACTTAGCTCCTACTATGTGCCTAGCACAGTTTTTAAAAAAGACTTTATGTATTTGTCAGAGAGAGAACAAGTAGGGAGAGCTGCAGGCAGAGGGAGAAGCAGACTCCCCACTGAGCAGGGAGCGAAATGCAGGACTCGATCCCAAGACCCTGGGATCATGACCTGAGCAGAAGGCAGACACTTAACTGACTGAGCCACCAGGCACCACCCATGCCTAGCACAGTTTTAAAGTGACGGGGTGTATCAATGAACTAGACAGGCAAGGCCTCTGCCATCATAGTTTTATACTCTATTGGGAAGAGACAGGCAATAGAAAACCACACATGATTAACAAGACTGTGAAGAGTTCAGAGAAAAAATTAAAACAGGGTGTTACGAATTAGAGTCATGTGGATGGGAAGGTGTCTTTGAAGTTGGGTCAGAGCTGGCCTTACTAAAGGAAAACAGACGTGCAGAAGAAGGAGACCGACCCCTCTGGGTAGGAGGTAGAGGAGGGAGATCCAAGAGCTGACAAACCCTTGAAATTATGTTGGACATTTGGTTTTCTATGTGCATTTTTCTGGGAAGACTCTCAGAAGAGCATGGCATCGCTTCCCCCCAAATGTTAAGAACCAATGCATTTAGATGCTTAATGAAGCATTTTGGGGCTTGAATCCACAGTCGGGTGTTCAACCCAACAGAATGCAATAGTATCATCAGCAAAGGATTGCAAAAATGTCTTCCTCAAATGTCAGTGCCTCATTATAAAAAATATATCTGACATTCTTAGTAAACATTTTAGTAAACATTTCGTTTACTTACTTACACCCACATATCAATCATAAATATGTAAGTATTCACTTATATATATATATACTTATATTATATACATATGTACAAAATAATGTGTATATATCCATATTATATTCGTGTATATATATCCATAATATATCCATATATATGATATCCACATATATATCCATATATATCTATAATATATCCATTTATATATGTGTGTATATATATATATATAAACATTCCTCCCTCTGCCACCCCACACACTTATTTCAGTGAACTGAAGTAAGAGATAGGCATTTGGAAGGCAAAATTGGCCTCCTATCATCTACATGTATCCCAGGTAGAAAAAAAAAATCAGCTTTTGTTCTTTCTGTTGTAAGACCAACGACTGATCGGGAACGACCAGCGGTGGGCTTGCTCTCAGCTGGGATACCTTCCTTCTTCCATTTTCATTATTTAAAAATCATACACTATAAGCCCAGACAGGACCGTACATTACCGGTGCAAATACATAGAGCGAGCTTGGTCTAACGCACTACACCCCCCAGCTGCTGGCTTTATTCGAACCAGCGCCAGGGACCCACGGGGCGCCACGCAGAGCTCTCAGGTCAAGGTCAGGTCAGGGCCTGAGAAGGCCTGGGAAGGCCCCGGCGGCCGTGACCTCCGCCCCTGCGCAGCCCGAGGGCGGCCCCTCCACGCGCGATGGCCGAGCGGGCCGGGCCGCCGCTGGGGAGGCGCGGAGAGGCGCAGGGGCCCGGGCTCCGGCTCGGCGCCCTCCCCCGGTGGCGCCGCCCGTGCCGCGGGCCTGGCGGCCTGGTGACCCCCGAATACCGGTGGCCCTGGTGGAACGCAGAGCTGTCGGGGGCGCCCGCGCTCCATGGTAGTTGCCGGGCGACCCGGCCGCGGGGGAGGCCCGCGGAGCCGCCGCCCTGGCCGAGGCTGGCCTCGCTGGGCCCGGCCCGGGTCCCGGCGGTCCGCAGGCCGTCCAGCGCCGAGGGGGCCGTGCTCCCAGCCGGCCGCCGCCCGCTGCCCTCCCTGTCCTCCCGCCGCAGGAAGGCCGAGTCCGAGGGGGCGCACGTCAAGCCGTTCGCCCCGCACACGGAGGTGCCCGGGCCTCGGGGCGGCAGCGCCCTCGGAGACGACGCCGAGGACGACACGTGGGCCTGCGGCGCCGTGGGGTAAGAGGCCGGGGCCGGGGCGCGCCCGCGAGCCCCACCTGCTGCCCCCTGCTCCGCTCTCGCTACCAATGGCCCGGCCTGAGGGGGGCGGGTGGGTTAGTACGAGAGGGAGGGGTTGCTCGCCCGCGGGCTTTGGGCGGCCCACCTGCACCTCCCTGCCCTCCTGCCCCGAGGCTCCTTTCTGACCCCTGATCACTAAGGCCCCGTGTCCTCGAGCCCCGCCTCCAGGCGCCCGGCGCCCTCCTCCGTGGCACACACGTGGGTGTCCCCACGTAGCGCCACCTGTTCAGCAAACTCCCTCCTCCTCATTGTCGCATCCCAGGGCCTAGCATGGAGCAGGGGGAGCAATACTTACTGTATTCGCTGTTTCTTCAGGATACACCTTTCCCTCTAGGAGACAATAAATTGTAAACAATTCGCAAATACACTGATTACTGCGGTGGCTTTAATTTGTGATTCTTTCCGCATAGTCCTACCTTAACCCAATGGTTGTTCTACCTGTTATCTGGTAGTTCTCGGATCCTTCTACCTTAAACAGTAGTGGGCTTACATACCGCGGTAGTAGGTCTTGGAGAGTGGTGCTTGGCCCTGTGGGCCTTTTAGTGACCCCGAAACCCACACGAGGTGCCTGTCCTGCCTGTAAGGTTAATCCTGCTTTCAAACGTAGCACCTGTTTTGAATAATTAAAAGCAGAGTTCATGGCCCTGCTTTATAAGTTCCAGATAATTCATCATGTTCTTTCTAATTTGTATTTTATCTTTCTGTCTGATAATGTCTCTGTTTTCACCTAAGACCTTAATTTCCTGATCTTCCATCAGTTACATTTTACAATTTGCTTTTCTCGGTGCCTTTTCTCTTCTTCTTCTTCTTTCTTTCTTTTTCTTTTCTTTTTTCTTTTTTTTTGGACTGGCTTGCCCCTTGTTTCTGGCTGATTTCGTACTGTTAGCCCTCCTGTGCCCTCATAGTCCCGTTCTGCACTTGAAGCATTGTTGGCCCTCCTTTAGACTGGAACCAAAGCTCAAGGTTTTAAAACAAGCGTTGTGTACCTTACCCATAAATGTGCCTGTCCCACAACCTGTATAGGATTTTAAGGAAACAGAGGAGCAAAATGGGGAGAAGAAATGGTGAGAACAGTGGTACCAACCCGTGTGCAACCAACATCTCCCATGAGGTAAGGCTAATGGTGTTAACCGGAGCATTTGGGCCCCTCCCCTGGTCAAGACCTCGCTCCCACTGAATCTGACTGCCTACATCCCTGCAGCTTTCTCTCTCTCTGAGCATTTTGCACTGAGTTGTCCTCTTGGCACTTTTTAGAATATCAAATGGGAATTTTTTTTCTTTCTTTTAATAAAGGAAAAATTAACCAGCTTCTCTCCAAATTTCGAAACGGTTCTTATTGCACTGGTTTTCCTGAAAGATGCTACCTTGCTTCCTCAGGCTGTGCTCACCTTTTTTTATTCTCTCATAGGTATTCTGTAAGAAATGTTGGTAAGGCAGGGGGGATGTCAGAAAGCGTTATCAATTCCCAACCTGTAAGAAGTTTGCAATCCAGCAGACCTCGTGTGTAGTTGATAGCCTCCCTTACCAGTTGACAGATTGGGTTATATTTATCTTATTATATGATCTGATAAAAACTGATTATATATCTGCAGTTTTTATCAGCTTCCCTTTCCGTGTCACTGTAAGGGTATTTCTGCCACATGTTATTTTGTACATTAGTGAACCAGGATCAGAGAGCTGAAAGAAGTCTAATAATCTGTCAGGATGCTTTTAAAAAAATAAATAATTGAGACTTACCTTCATCCTACTGAGTCAGACCTTACAGCAATTTTTTTCAAGTAGTATCATTTTTTAATGATGCATTTATTTTAGAGAGAGTGCAAGCGAGGTGAGGGGCAGAGAGAGAGCGAGAGCGAGAGAGAGAGAGAGAGAGAGAGAGAATGAATCTCGAGCAGACTCCCCGCTGCGTGCAGAGCCCAACTCGGGTTTGATCCCATGACCCTGAGATCATGACCTGAGCTGAAATCAAGAGTTGGATGCTTAACCAACTGAGCCACCCAGGCACCTCTCAAGTATCATTTTTAAAATGCTCCCCAGATGATTTTCATAGAGACTAGACCTAATTACGTGTCATCTTGGGGAACAGGGAATTAATCTCCAAAGATAATCTGCAGCCTACCTTCCAATGTTCAGCTACCTTTCCAGCAGGACATAATTTTCTTGTGGGCCAATTAAATCCTCATATTGTATTTAAGCTGATTCTCCCTGTTCCTGCTTTAGTTTGGGAGTGATACCTAACATTTTATTTGTGTGTTGCTGAATTTAATTTACAAAGGATTTTCTCCGTTGAGTTAGAAAACAACTGAGTTTGCTCTTAAAAAATTACTTTAAAAAAAAAAACAAAACTCCTCACCTCTTCACTTTCCCTATTCCGGGATAATTTGTTATAATCCTCTCCTGCACACACCCCACATTTCCCCCCCACAGCATTCAGCACAATGTCTGGAACGTAAATACTGGTACATATTAGTACCATTCCCTATTCATTTTTTCGCTTGCTTTTGAATATTTCCTGAGTGTGTTTCAATGTCTAGAATCTAGAATGAGTAGCAGGCTGGTCAGTGTTGAGTACAATTTGAAGATTAGAGAATTTTCTTTGGTGGACGGAAAGATTTTATAGATCTGGTGTTCAGATACAGGAAATTGGGTGAATGTGCCATTGTGTACCAGCGACACACTGAACTAGGTATTTTATTATATTTTTAAAATATAAAATTTTTTAACTTTTAAAATTTTTAAATAAATTTTGAAAACCTTTGTGTCATTATTTTTAACAAAATGAGAATGAAACCATAAATTATTGTAAAAGCCTATCTACTAATAGGTGTTATCAAGCTGATAATAATTTGAGAAGAGAACGCTGCATGCTTCTCAAAAATACTGGTAGTGTTCTTATATAAAGGAGAATGGGTCACAAAACTTTATGCCTTTCTCGTGTTTTAGCCACAGACATGAAAAATTATGTACTTTTAAAGTGTTCTTAATATTAAGTTTATCCTAAAACAAATATTGTTTTAGAGCTTGTCTCATCGGAATTTGGATTCAGAAGTACCTGCTCCTGAAAATAAAAATCTCCCACCTGGAAAGGATAGTGCAGCAGGTGGTAAGAAATCCTAGATGTGTGTATTTATTAATACTGCAAATTTATGTTCATTCATATTTATAATATGAATAACCATTCATATTAAAGGGGGTTTGTTTTTCATACAACCAGTTTTATGTAACTATTAATTGTCATTTTTTCCATATACATTCTTTCAGGCAAAATTAACAAGGTAAGGATAAATGTTTGGCTTTAAATAATTCACAAAACACTTTTGAAATTATATGTATGTTCATTAAAAAAATTTCTTGAAAAATTTCAATTTCATTTCTGTAGAGTTCTTCAAACAAGTCAAAGCCTTTTCTGTTCTACAGAAAAAGGGCGGCAAACTGGTCATTAAGTTAATATTTTATTATATATTTTTTCAATATAGTAATGTCAGAAATGGAAATTAACATTGTAGTGGCTATAGTGTTTCGTAGTCATTGCCAAAAGAAAAGTAGTCTCAGCTCTTAAGATATGATGAGGCAGTTAAAATGATTAATGTTTTGTTTTGAAGTGATAAGGCAATTAATCTTTCATCTACTTTTTTTGAGCAAAATATAAAACACTTAACGGTTAGTAAAATAAAGATAATCTTAATGATATTCGAGGCTCATCAGTTCACACTGTTGGTATTTGTAACAGATTATGCTGATTCCTGCTGAAATCAGTAAAAACAAGTGATATCTGCATGTATAAAAGGGAGTATTATATGACCTTACTATATATTTCTTGGTTAGAACAAGAACTATACATTCTTAGAACAATAACAGGGAATAGAGATATATTGTGTTTAAAAGTCTTCTGCTGCTTTATAGAACCATTTGGAAATTCCAATAGAGCAACTGGTGCTAGACCCAAATTTGTCAGAACACGCTCACAAAAGAACACAGGTGAGATTTATTCATCATACTCAAAGTATTTTTCTTTCAACACATGCAGTTACTAAAATGTCCATGTTGTTCTGTTATCAGAATAGTAAACAAGGGATATTTCAGTTGTGGAGTTATCCTTTTAACGAAGGAAGTACCATGGAGAACAGGTGAGAGAATATTTATTTCCATAAGCCTCTAAATTAGTGAGATACATTTAAATACAAAAAAGTTAACTAGTCCTCCGATAGACAAGGAGAAAAAACAACCGGAAGAAAAAGTATTCTGTGCCACTTGTGGGAAATTATGGAAACTCACCGTAAAATAGGAAGTGGCAGGCATACACCACAGAGATCACCTGTATATGAAGAATTCAGAGGTCCCTGTGCCCTTATAATGAGAGCTCCCATGGATAGAGTTGGGGCTTCTCATCGAAGGGAAGAGGAACTGTAATAAAAAAATAATAGCCCACAGGGCAGGAATGATTTCTGTCCCTTGTATATATTAATTCATTTAACTGTCGCAACAATCCTGTAAGGCACTGCTGTCAGCATCCCTATTTTACAGGTGAGGACATTGAGTCAGGGTGACGAGGTACATAACTTGCCCAAAGTCATACAATGAAGGAGTGGTAGAACCAGATTCATGCTCTTGTGTGCTACAGTATATTGCTTCGCACACCTTACCTGGGTTTGAATTCTTATTTTTTGGTTCTTAAACTTTAGTGGGTGTTGGAACCAGCTGGAGCGTGTCTCACAGACACAGGTCACTAACATGTGGCGATTCTGTTTGTTGAACACCGGGTCACTTTAACATACCGTGTGTTGTTTAATGGAGAGCCCAAGTTCTGGATCAGAACTAGAATTAGTTCCTCAGTTTTGTTCCTGCTTTTGAGGAGCAGTCTCCCAGAGGACTTTCCTTCCAGGAGGCTCAGGACAAAACTCAGCGTCATACTGAAACTCGAGGCGTGAATACAAGAAGTGCTAAAGGGACCGCAGTGACTCATGTCCTAAGGGAACGTCAGTGTGAGGGGCATAGGAAAGGCTACTTTGACTAGAATGAACTCTGCTGGGAACAGGGTTTCAAGGTCAGAGGTCAAATGAAACGAATTGAATGTTATCCTACTAACACACAGCGAATGTAAACTGAGTCAGTGGAGGGCAGTGGCTAGGATTACCAGCACGGGGCACCACCACTCGGGTTTAAATCCCACCTCCACCCCTTACCACACTGTGCCTCAGTTCCCTTCCCCATAAAAGAAAATAAAAGTGCTTATCTTGTGGGGTTGTTGTGAGGATTAAACAGAATCCGGTGTTTCTTAGGTATTTGTTATTAATCCTGGGGAAGCCTGAGTATGTTGTTCAGTTGGAAGTCCTGTATCAGTGAAATATTCCGTTACCGAAATGTTTCTCCTCAGTATGCCATCAAGAATAAAATACCTTTCATTTAGCGTTTAACATTTTTGCAAAGTATGTTCATGTAATTGTTTTGCTTCTCAGACCACCCCAAGTTCGGTACTGTCATTACCTCTGGCGGCAAAGGGTTTCACACCTAGGTCCTCACCCCCGGATTCCATGCTCTTTTCACTAAACAACATGGATCCTGTCTCTTCTCAATTGTAGATTTAAAGTGACTTTTTTGTTGCTTTACAAAGGCAAGTGAGTTTAACTAATATTTACCTGAATCAATAATTTTTTAGTATTTTCTATAGAAATAAAAGTATTTTTCAAAATCCCTCAAGAATACTTTGCTGTCTTTATTGTAAAGTGGCATTAAAGGAAGCGAGAAGAGAGTGAGACTATATATGTCAATTAATGCTTCAGCTCTTCCAATGTCGGTATTTCTAATAAGCTTTAAAAAAAACTTTAAACTCAATATTCTATGGCATCTCTCTTTCACAGTTTCATTCTAATAAACTACCTAGAAGCATTACTCATAAAAGAGTACCATCTAATGAAAATTACTATGGGATAATTTTTTAATTGTGCAGTTAGTTTCTTTTTTCTCTCTCTCTCTTCCTCTCTCTCTCCCTCCTTTTCCTCCTCCCTCCCTCCCTTTCTCCCTCCTTTCCTCCCTCTCTCCCTTCCATTCTTCCTTTCTTCATTCCTTTTTCTACTAAGGGATAATTTTTGGTAAACATTGTTTTCCTTCCTTTTATGTTAGCATAATTTTTTAAAACCACAGTGGCTAAAGTAGACTTTATTGAGTAACTTAATTACATTCTTTGAGTTTCCTTTCATCTAATCCCAGGTCCCTGAACGTTTCACTATAATTTCAGTTTGAGTTGGAGAGCCCCCTTCTCAGACATCATCACTGCATGCACAGTATATTCACAGGCAAATAGATATAATTACCATTTTTAACCTAGTGGGCATTCATACAAACAGCTAGCCATTTGTGGGTAGAATGATCTAGTCACCTGGACATGTACAGAGGGTTGTCTAGTTAATATTCTGATCTATACTTTAAAAAATGTATGTAGTTTTATATAATTGAGCATATTTGGAAATGAATATATCTCTCTTATAGATAGATACACATAGGCCATTAGAAACCAAACATTACCCAGTCTTTGATGATTTTGCTTATTGATTATCATTTTAACAGCATTTTAATTCTAGTCAACAAACCATTCACTATTTAAATCATTTTTTAAAGAGATTTCAAGAAGTCTGCAGTGGAACCTGGCTTTAACGTAACCAATAACCCCATGAGGCTCTTCACACTGAACCACTCACTGACTACTGCTTCAGTAGATAAGCAAGTTGGTTCTTACCCTGGTCTACAGGTGCCATCGGGCCTCTGCTGGCCCTATGCTGATGGAGACTTTTTTAAGGACAGAAATGAGCCTTATATTAATTTATGTTCAGCTGTGGAAAACAATAATGGTGAAACTTTATCTGCCCCAAATTGGAATTTGAAATATGGAAACAGCAGTATGGAGGAAAACTTAACAGATGAAAGTGATTTATCAGAAAGTGAAAAAGCAAATGATAGTTTGCTCAGCTATTTTAAAAAGATGGATCTGAACTTAAAGCCAGAAGCGATAGAAAACGTTGAGGAATCTTTCACAGAGGAACCAAGTGAAGTATTTCCATATCCTGATTTTCTCCCTTCTCCTTTCAATAGTCTGGACTTGCACAAATTAGCCCTCTCAAAATCTGAAAATTGGAAAGTGACAGTGGAACCTCCAGAAAGCTCTATTGAACGTTTGATAACCCGTTTACTGGAAATGGAAAGATTACAACACACAACTATACAAAAAGAAAGGCCCAGACTACAAACTACCTTCTGTGCTCCAGCAGCTACTGAACGACCCTTTTCCTCCAAAGCTATCCCCAAAATGAGACAGCCAAAACTTTCAGACTCTTTGAGTCTTCAGACAACTTGTGTAGATAAAAGTCGCGAAAAAAGAAAAAGCAGTTCTGGGTCTTGCAAACTTGAACAAAATGCTTCAAAATGGAATTGGAGCAATGTTGGCAACACACACAAATGGACTTCTAGACCACCACCTCTAAAAAGTTCATTCACCACCAAACAGTTGATTGCAACTTGTGATGACATTAGGAATCTCAAAAGCTCCATTTTAAACCCATGCCAAGAACTCTCAGCCAAGTCCACTAGTTCCCAAACAACTCAATCGGTTAAAATGGTCTCAACAAGATGTCTGCCACCAAGGTCTCCAATACCAGTTTCGCCTATACCTCTGTCTTTTCCCGAAAATCAGAGAGAAGACAATAAGGCACCAAGGACCAAAAAGAAACCTTATCAGAAAAACATAGAATTGAACAAACCATTCTATATTCAGAAGTTAAACTGTTTATCGCCTTCCTTTGTAGGTAAGGACAAGTGTTCACCCATTGATCAAAAGTAACTTTTCTCTCCTATGTGAGCAAATCTATTGCCAAGAAACTTGGCTAAAATACGGTTCATCATGCCGAGATATAGGTATTACACACACGTGAAGAACTTGCTGTGCTGTGGAGTGGAACTTGTGAAAAGCACTGCTGAGGTGTCTATATATAAATCCAAGAGCTTCCATCCTGACATATTTGACAATCTTTTGCATGTCATGTTTCAAAGGAATGTTTGCCTTAGTAAACTATTCAAAAGATTATTCTTTTGTTGTGTTTCCCAGTAGAATTCCATCATCAGTAAATACTGTAATCGACTGGTTGCTGGTGTATTTCATTTTCTGTTATAGCTTTAAGAGTAAATTACCTCTTAGCGAATTTATTTTTTTAGTTCTTCCGACTCTGATACCTTTTTTTCCTCTCCTTTACTATCTCTAAAAATCTCCTTTGTCTATCATCTTGACCTATCTTTTGGTATTTGCTTGGCCATTAAAAGCTAAACTACTTGTGATTTTGTTGAATTAATATGCAAGGTCCTCTAGATCCTCCAGTGTATCTTAAAAATTGTTCCTTTCCCAGGTCTTCTGTCACATACATGAAAGCGAGATCCGTTATCTTGGGGCCAAATGATGTTGTAGGCATGAAACAACCCTCTTCCACTCAGACCTAACAACAGTTTTGGAATGTCAAAGGAAAAATGAGAAAAGGTTGATGTACACAGAGCAGCCGAAATGTCACATTAATGGAACTTTTCCCAAAGTTCTTTGTTCTTGCAAGTCTTAACTGCCCCGCCCCTTGTTAGTTGAAACGCAAGCAGGGAAAGCATCTTAACTTGTTCAAAAGAAAAGTGTGTGGGTGTAGGGGAGACCATGCGACTGACACACCTTACTGCACCTAATCAGGGAAACAAAAAAAATTGAGTCTGGGGTTCTCTCACAGCCCCAAGGATGTGGAATCCAGGAGTGGGGCTGGGGGACCTGCACTGTAAACAAACATTCCAGGTGATTTTAATGCAGGTGGTTCTTGGATCACACTTCGAAAAACATCTTAAAGGAAAAAGTTGATGTAAAATGGATGTTTGGGGGTGGGTGTAGTGTGCTTTGGTTTCAGTGGATGTTTGGTGAATTCGAATGAGTTTGTTTTGTGAGGAAAGAAATAGTTTTATTAACTGAGACAGAGAAAGCTCTCAGGAGTGAGAGGGGTCCCATTAGGGTTGCCCTCAAATGAGTTTTTGGTAAACATTAAAAATAACACGATGAAAACTTCAAGCATTGCCCAAAGGAAAATGAGAAGTAAAAAGCTCTCCCTACTCCCAGCCCACTGCCAAGGCATGGTCAATATTGTGTATCATCTTTGCTGCACCGCACCCCCCCCCCAAAAAAAAGCAAGATGAAATATTCAAGATTGGGATAGGTGAGATGAACTAAAAGACACTTCAAAGACATGTTGAAGAAAGCAACTGTGGTTTCACTTTCCTCTATTCTATTCCTCTATTTTTAGTAAAAGAATAAGGTTCAAAGAATTTTCTTAGAAGCAGAGGTAAAAGAGAGTAGGTTTAGTTTTTAGATTAATTTCAAAGAACTTTCTAGAACTGTATCAATACGACATAGAAAAATAAACTGTTCAGGATAACTTACCATAGAACAGTATTTTACCTAAATCCCATACAGTTGGTGTCATTATCCCAAGTGGTAGAACATCCCTCTCCCAGAACAGCATGTAAAAATGGACTTGTGCTTTCACACCATCCCAGCTTCCCCACTCAACCACCTTTCCTTTCATTCTTACAGTTCTAACTTGAGTCCCAAGCCTTATTTGGCAGCCTTCGTACCCATTCTCATTTTTACCTTCTTTACCCTGCTTGGATCTTATCTCTTCACTTTTAGGGTCATAATGATGTTAATTTTTATCTGTAAAAGCTTCAGGAAGGGGACATGCCTGTTCTGTTCACCACTCTATCCCAAACAGTCATTGCCTGGTATGTAGATACCCTGGGTTAGGGAAAGGACTCCGCCCAGCCTCGAGGACAGTTACGTGAGAGCAGTCACGAGGGCCTTCTCCACAGCCAGGCTCTGCCACGTGACAGATCTGCACCTCAGGCAGGTTCCTTAACCTCAGTTCTTCACTTTCCTGATGTGTCAGGTAGGTAGCGGATCTTTTAGTGCATATAATCATGTGAGGATTGAATCAAGTGCCTGGCAAATTAAAAAGCAGATCAGAGGAAAGACATAAATGACACAGGAGGGCAGACTGGATGAAATGGGCCGCCTCAGGACTAAATTAACCGTCACTGGAGTAACAATTCAGATTATTCACGTCCTGCTTCTTACAAGACATGTGTCCACCATCAGGAACATGCTGTGGAGTGAAGACACAAGCCCTTGTTTCCAGGAAGACCAAGAGTGGGAGTGGACATGGGAGACAGGAAACAGGAGGTAGGGAGGAGTATTTCAGAGGTAGGGTTAATGGAAGATCACTGTGTCCGCAGTTCCAAGAAATAGATTTCTGCACTGAAGGATTGCTTTGGTGGGGTCGGAGGCTTTGATGTCTTAGAGACAGGCAGGGCAAATCTTACTGGAAACATAACCGAGCTACTTTATTTAGGATGCCATTAGACCTAAAAAAGGAGCTAGTTACTGAAACACATGAGTTTCCTATTAGTCCCAAATTGTTTTAAATTTAACGATGTAAAAAATGCATTAGCAGCAATGCTGATTTCAATTATAGGGCACAGGTACTTATTTTAATATGATTAGTAAAAATAGTGGAATTTTTTAAGCGGAGTCCCTAAAATGAGGTCAGAAAAGGCACATACACGAGAGTAGATGTAGCCATCCTAAATTCATCTTGTCAAATGATGGGAGTAAAACAGGCAATATTTGGCTAAGAGAAAAACTTACCATTGGGGGTTGGGAGTACTGTAGTTACCAACAAACTTGGAAGACTTAGCAATTTTTCAAACCTGTTGGAAGCCAACTTCCACCACTATTTTTGAAGAAACACTTGGCAGCTTCTAACAGACACCTATAAATTAAAGTGATTCTTGTTCAGGAAACTTCAGTTGATTTTGGCTTTCTGGCTTGCTTAAAAATTCCCCATACTTTGGCTGTCCAGTACTGACACCTTTTCTTGGCTCCTTTTCAGATCTTACCCGAGGCAGATTCTTTTCTCATCAATGAAAGCACAGGGAGAAAAGTCTCTTCAAAGTTTGCCATAACCCCCCACCCCCAGCCCCCACCAAACCCAATGCACCCTTCATACTACCTTCCCTAATAAAAAGCAGGATCTCATGATCTGTGTCAGTTGCTTTAGACAGAATATGTAGTTCTTCATCCTCTGCCAGCCCAAGTAGACACTACAGCTGGGGCCTTTGCAAGGCAGCTGTCTAGAGCCACTACCACTCTGGCCCATTTCTTAGAAAAACTAGTAGGACTTGACCACTAGGTAGAGAAGATGGCACCTGCTAGATGGGAGTACCCAACACAGCCAGACACTCTGGCCCTGCCTCCTCCAGTCCTGCTTTATGCTGAAGATTCGATCTCCTTGTCCCTCTTTTAGGTATTTTACAGTTTTTTGTTTTAAGCTGAGGACATTTCTTTAGAAGAAGATAAGAAGTGGATAGACTAAGGATATGGTCCACATTTGTCAGGCTTCCCCATGTACAATGAACCAACTGATTTAAATCATTACAGAAAAGGGAGTTACCTCCTTACTTATGATGTTTCTATTTGGCATGTGTTCTGCACTTAGCTGCTAGAAGTATTTTGATGTTTGTAAGGAAGATACTAAATTGGCTGTTTCCATGCAGCAGGTTCTGCCAAGTGGTTTGGTAAACTTCTCTCTACACCGTTCTCCTTCACTGAGGTTCACAATGCATATCAGATATCTACTGAGAAGTTTTAACATAAATATTTAAATTTAATCTGACAGTAGCTAATCATATTTGGGCAGAGAATACCTTTCAAAGCACATCTATGAACACCAGTGAAATAGCATATCAGAAACCTTAAGAGAGGGAATGCTGTTTTAATTTAAAACTAAACGTAAAATAGCAAACCCCAGCAAAGGAAAAATCAGGAAACAGTATGGTAACAAGAGGCATATTTTATTAAGTTTTCCAATAATTGGAAACATGGCTGCTAAAATGCAAGTTACAATTCACATGATACCACAGTAACTGGGATACATATTATTTTCAGAGACCAGCTTCCATATCTTGATCATTAAACGGAAAGATTCTTCAGAAGAACAGTCCCTTACCCTACATATAGAAGGAGAAAAAAAAAAATTAAAGATGCCATGATGATATCTATCAAGTAACTGGAAAACATTTTTAAAGTCAATTTAGTGTACATTATTGACATGTAAAAAAACACAAATGAATTTGTAGTGAACATTTCCATAAGAAAGACATCCCATCTAGGAGGATGATAAAACTCATGTTGAATATATGCTTGAACTAGGGTATGAAAAGGAAAGAAACACTTTTTATGAGGCCCAATTTCCAATGATGTCATCATAATTAATGAAAGGAAATTACTTATTTGAGTATCCGTTTCTTTCCTACCTCCAACATTTAAAAGGGCATTCTTTAACTATTTGGCTTAAATTTGAAGATATTTGATTCCTCAGTTTCATTCCAGAGATCTTATTTCTACATAACCAGCTAGCATTACAAAATGATAAAGAACAAGTAGAGCATAGTAGGAGGAATGCAAATATCAACTAGATCTGAGAATATTACATTTCTTTGCCTCTACCACATACCATAAAACATACATTTTTTGTATTGTAGAAATGTCCTGAGTATGTGTTTTGGAGAAAAAAAAGGTGGTTACTATAATGAAAAAAAAATTAGAGTATCTTAAAAAACTTATTTTGAAAGTAGTAGAGTGGAATGCGTTCTACATTGGGGAATAATAAGGATGCAACTATTAAGGACTAAGAGGTGAACAGGAATACAGGGAAGGTCTTTAAAATTTATGACAAGATACTCCCTTCCTTCAAAACCTCGATGCTC